AAATAGAAAATCAACTAAAATTAGGAAAATTCCACAAAAATTCAGAATCATTCAAACCTAGATGGCTAAGGTAAGGGTAATTAATGTCTGAGCTGGCTTCTTTTGATGCACAAATTAGGCTTCTCAATACGGATCCCAACAGCCTCAGGAATAGTTAGTAATCGAACTCTTAAGGTGAAGTTAAGGTTAGTTGGTTGGTATGCGGTAAATGAGCATGAAAGCATGGGTTAACATCAATCTTGTGTTCTGTGTGCACAAGGTGAGAGAGAATAGCACTGCGAATAGATTTTGTTTATCCTTTGCTTAACCACACAGGTTGATGTTCCGAAATTCGACGAGAAACACGCCTAATTGTACGGCCTATGCAACCAACTGGCTCCACAAGAGCAGTTAAATTGATAATAATAGATATAATAATAGTAATAATAATAACAGTGAGTTGGTTTCAAACACTATTGTGAATACAGTTTGGAAATTTTAGCATGTTATTATAGATTATTGAATCTAATGTTCTGTTGATATAGCAGTATGGTGAGGGGAAATATAAAAAATAACAATTACTACACAGCTTAAATGATATTCACACTTATGAGAAAATAAACAAATCAAAACAAAAAACTGACAGGATTATGAATATAAGGAGAAGGACAATAACAATAAGGCTTGGTGGAATTATTTATTTACTATTGGAAAGAAGGTGAGTTAGTTAGTTAGTTAGTTAGTTAGTTAGTTAGTTAGTTAGTTAGTTAGTTAGTTAGTTAGTTAGTTAGTTAGTTAGTTAGTTAGTTAGTTAGTTAGTTAGTTAGTTAGTTAGTTAGTTAGTTAGTTAGTTAGTTAGTTAGTTAGTTAGTTAGTTAGTTAGTTAGTTAGTTAGTTAGTTAGTTAGTTAGTTAGTTAGTTAGTTAGTTAGTTAGTTAGTTAGTTAGTTAGTTAGTTAGTTAGTTAGTTAGTTAGTTAGTTAGTTAGTTAGTTAGTTAGTTAGTTAGTTAGTTAGTTAGTTAGTTAGTTAGTTAGTTAGTTAGTTAGTTAGTTAGTTAGTTAGTTAGTTAGTTAGTTAGTTAGTTAGTTAGTTAGTTAGTTAGTTAGTTAGTTAGTTAGTTAGTTAGTTAGTTAGTTAGTTAGTTAGTTAGTTAGTTAGTTAGTTAGTTAGTTAGTTAGTTAGTTAGTTAGTTAGTTAGTTAGTTAGTTAGTTAGTTAGTTAGTTAGTTAGTTAGTTAGTTAGTTAGTTAGTTAGTTAGTTAGTTAGTTAGTTAGTTAGTTAGTTAGTTAGTTAGTTAGTTAGTTAGTTAGTTAGTTAGTTAGTTAGTTAGTTAGTTAGTTAGTTAGTTAGTTAGTTAGTTAGTTAGTTAGTTAGTTAGTTAGTTAGTTAGTTAGTTAGTTAGTTAGTTAGTTAGTTAGTTAGTTAGTTAGTTAGTTAGTTAGTTAGTTAGTTAGTTAGTTAGTTAGTTAGTTAGTTAGTTAGTTAGTTAGTTAGTTAGTTAGTTAGTTAGTTAGTTAGTTAGTTAGTTAGTTAGTTAGTTAGTTAGTTAGTTAGTTAGTTAGTTAGTTAGTTAGTTAGTTAGTTAGTTAGTTAGTTAGTTAGTTAGTTAGTTAGTTAGTTAGTTAGTTAGTTAGTTAGTTAGTTAGTTAGTTAGTTAGTTAGTTAGTTAGTTAGTTAGTTAGTTAGTTAGTTAGTTAGTTAGTTAGTTAGTTAGTTAGTTAGTTAGTTAGTTAGTTAGTTAGTTAGTTAGTTAGTTAGTTAGTTAGTTAGTCCATGACTGACACTATTTTCATCACATAAAATAAGTGGCAAATACTGTACCGTGGAGTTTTTAATACTTAGACGTGCAAGCTTAAGGTCTTTTGAAATAACTTCTTGTTTCACCTGAGGAGACACAAGGCGAAAGCTGCGGGTGCTGCAGTGGATGCTCACCGCTCCATAAAATCCCTTTAGCAAATTTAATGCATGAAATTAAGTGCCTATCATCAATGACGATGTCAACAATATGGCCAAATGGGATACCACTCTCACCCCGCTGACTGACAGTCCTCAGAGTTCTACGAAGTATGACATAGTCCGATTTTAAGCAACCCATGGCAAAAAAATAAGGGTGAAAAATAAAGAAGAATAGGTAAGACGCGCAAGTTGACAAACTGTAAGAGGGGAAGGGGTTGAGTTATACCCGAGTACCTTAACTTCTTAATGTAAAAAATGAAACCAGTTTGGAAATCTTCTGCATTCAGTCAGCAAAAACAACAAAATTTGGATTCTTTTCAGCACATATGTGAAGTCAGTCGGTCACTTTTCCAATATGGCTGAAAAACTTGTTACTTATGCCACGAAAAGCATTTCCAACAAGTTATGGACTGTTATCGACAGCTGCCAACTTTACTGGCCAGCTGGCCGGCTAGCCAGAAAGAATTAGCAACAAGAAACTCTGACTGGCGACAAACTATACAAGAGCCGATTGCTTAACAAATATGTTGGCGAAAATAGAGTTGGCTAGGGCATAAGTTTAAGAGATCGTCGAATGACATTGCGCTCAGTGCAGACCATCGCTTGAGTGGAATCAAAATACGCAGCGCCGAGTGGCTCTTATGGCCGAGGGTGACACGAAAGAGATCGTGTGTCGAGGAGAAGGAGGAGGTGGAGATGATAGATTACCTTCAATCGTGTGGCTAGCCAGCCGAAGAGAAGGGCGGAAAATAAAACAAAGTGTAGATGTTTTGATTGGACACTAGTGAGATGTGTATAGTGTCCTTTCTTTGGTGCAGACTGAATTCTATCAGTCAGGTTTGCACCGTGGCCACTATTCTAGGTAGCTTGCCATTAATCGCTAGCCCAAATAGCTCAGTGTTGGTGACGTCTGTGACTGCATCACTGGATGACACCGGTTCGAATCTCAGAAGGGAAATGAGTTGTTCCTTCAAGGTTTCAGAGACGCCTAGCTGTCTGATGAGTGCCAACTAGCATGAAACCCTGGTTCAAGGCTTCATCAAGCCGCTTGCCACCAACTATCTAATATCATCAAAAGTGTAGATGTGTTGTTGAAGCCTTATGTTCCGATCGGAACCCAAGGGAAAAATACTAATAATGCCCAGCAAATATGCAAGGCAAAAATGGAGTTGGATTGGATATAGCTTGCCGAGATCGCTGAATGACATCACACAACAGGCGATTCCAGTGGAACCCGAATGAAAAACTGCATACTGGGCGTGGCTCCGAGGGTGTTTAGTGAAAGATCATGTGACGAGGAGGAGAAGGAGGAGGTGAGAGCCTATGGAAAATCGTGAATGACTGCAGGCAACAGAATTAAACAGGGCTGCATCAGTAAAACCCTAGATACTATTCAGAATCTAAGGGAATAATAATTAGCTCATGTCAAGCGATCCACAACGAAAAACTCAGCGAGGCGTTTGGAGCAAACACAGGAGTCAGACAAGGGTGCTTTTTATCACCAATGAATGATATTCCTAATTGTAGTGGACTGACTGGATTATGCGTCAGACAGTGGGAAACGAGAAGACAGGAATATCCTGGACTGACGTGAAGAACCTAGAAGACCTGGATTTCACGCGTGGATGATTTATGTTTGATGTCACACACACAAAATCGAAGACTTACAAGCAAAAACCGACCGAAAAACTAGTCGAAGAATCAGCCGGCGAAGATAGGACTCCAAGTGAACATAGACAAGACGGAGGTTATAAAAATAACCAGCCAACAACAACAGCAACACCCAGCGTCAATCACCATCAACGGGAGGGATTTGAAAGAGGTCACTTCATTCATTCACTTATCTAGGGAGCATTGTCTCAACTACAGGCAGTCGGAGCGGACAAGGATGTCAAATCGAGCGAGAATCGGAAGACGAGCGAGAAACACATTCATCAACCTGACTGAAACCAATCTGGAAATCTTCGTCACTCAGCCAACATCAACAAAAAAATTCAGTCAGATTTTCAATACAAACGTTCTTCTATATAGAACGGATCAGGAACTTGGCGGGCGGGTCACAAAGAATATTTACAACCAACAGGCTATTGCAGACCTTCGTCAACAACTGTCTTCGCTGGCTCTATAATGAAGATCAGATAGCCGGGCGGGCCGGAAAGAATCTCCAACAAGAAACTATGGACACAAAGAAACAAAACAAGAAGCAATCGCCAACCAAAAAATATGCAGGAGAAAGTGGATTGAGATGGATTGGACACTCGCTGAGGAGGAGGCCTCTGGGTGACATCGCGTGCGTCAGGCCATTGCTCGAATGGAACCCGACAGGAAAGGAAGCGGCGAGTGGGACGTCAGTCTAAGGGTGACATGGAGGAGATCGTGTGAAGAGGAGTTGAAACAGTATGGACTAGCATGGATGCAGGTAAAAGTACAGCAGAAGGAAGACAGAAGTGGCAAGTGGAGATGTGCAGTTGAAGCCCTATGTTCCACTAGGAACCCAAGGGAAAAATAATAGTAGTAATAATAATGTTTTTCAACCAAACAACAAACCTAGAATCCGACATAGTCTTAGTTTGATCAATAATGCCTAGATCCGTGATCTGATTTGCAATCTTTCAGTTTTATATTTGTAATGCAAAATATTTTCACCTGATGAAATTTGAAAACATGACCTTAATAAACATGAGAATATATGTGTATATTGATGAAACATGTATATAAGATTTGTTATTAATAATAAGAAGGGTAGATTGTTAATATTGGACATATTGAACATATCATTCGTTTACCATTCTGTAAGATTAAAAATGTGATTAGTCTTATTAATATTATTACCATTATTATTATTATTACTAATTACCGTTAAAATATTCGTGTGTTTACGATTCTGCTGAAAAATTTAAACATGTAACAAACAGGCTGTCCAATTGATAGGGTATACAGTATGGTATATAAAATCACACGGTTTACACGGGGATTTTAATTTCGCGCAGAATTTTTCAACTTTCTTAACCAAATTTGACAACATTAACATTACTGGTGACAGTAGTAATACATTGTAATACAAATGTTATTATTTAGATCGGATCATAATCCTATTATTGTATTAAGCATTTTACTGTTGCATGTATTATTGTTGTATGTGGTAGTCTTTACTGAGGGCCAACACGTAAAACACGAAGAATATACATGTCCTTATCTATGGATGCAATGGAAACAGAAACGTACGCTTGGTTGGATATGCGGTTCTGTACCATTTCTACAAACAAAGTAAGTATTATATATATTTTGAATTAGATGTTAGGTGGCGTGTTTGAAAATCGCACTATAGCATCCTATGGTTTCAAACAGCTTAGCTCATTCATTATAAATTATTTAAATTAATCCCAGCGTGTTAAGAAAATCAAAACAAGATTTTTCTGAACGTTTCGCCGTGTAAGCCACAGCTTCTTCAGCAGATTTATTCGGATTATAATTAATCATCAAAATATACAGTCAAAATTTTTTACATAAAATGAAGTCAGTTTATTTGAAGGTCATTTGTCCATGGACTCGGCGCTCAAATTATTCCAGGAAATTCGTAACACCTACGGTCTGGAAACCTATAAGCTTAGCTCATTGTTTTCCCGTCGAAGTGTTGAGTGAGCTGACGGCATTTTCCCTTCTATGGTGTTATAATAACTGACCTTAGATGAACTTAACCCCTTTCATTTCGCTACTTTCAGCATTGTTTTTCTTATCCGATGTCACTGGTGCTATCAGAACTTCCGTTACAATGGTATGCACTAAATGTTTCTTGGGGATAGTGATCTTCGGGGTGAACGGGCTTGAGGATTGCTATCGTGATAATTATTTTATATCTTCTGGACTAGATGACTGTTTGTCATAAAGGCTTCAGTCATCGGTAGACTTCATATTCTTGCCGGCCATTTTCTGTAGTATTCCATTCAGACGATCAGAATGCAATCACGCTATAAGTGTCTATAATGCTGCTGCAAAATACCGAAATATCTTTGTCGGTAACAATCGAAAACAAAACAGGAACACAACAAAACGAACTACGTTGCTTGAAACCACTGGATGCCATCGTATCATCTTCAAACTTTCCACTTTTTCTTTCTAAAATCCCGCTAAGTACATTGATATTGTTTGCGTTGAAAACATATTTGTGCTTATATAATACAATCATTAATCAACGCAGATTTCTTTACGAAACAAAACCAGTTAGAGATCATTAAAAATCAGACAGATATCTATCTTCAAGTATTGGTTTGTAGGGATTTGGTTGATTGGTTAAAAGATTTCATCATGACCTGACATTGGTTAGAGAAGCATTCGAAAACCTGGGAGTAGTAAGCAGCTGTTTGAGATTCTTCATCTGTACGCGCCCACCGGGGTTCAAACCCAGGACTTTCTGGTCACCAAGCGAGCTCTATCCCCTGGTAACAAGTCAGTCAATCCTTGAGTTGCTGAAGTCTTCGAATGGAAGATGTTTGAATCTATGTATGTCTGCGTGCGTCGGTGGCACAACGATTAGGACGCTCACCGACCATGCACATAGTCCGTGGTTCGACTCCCGGCCACCAACGCACTCCTTTACCTCGCTAAGCCTGAAATAATGCTGTTAAAGAGGAAAGGTTGGGCATGAGGCTAGAAACCCCATCTTGCAAAATTAAACACTGCTACAGAAACTTCAAGCCGCTAGCTTGAAGGCGACCTATGTTCCACTGGGAACGTGAAGGAAAAAAAGTTTGTCTGAATTGCATAATGTGTATTTCCGTAACACACTTCGAACAATCTGATCACACACACGGACTTGTCATGGGAATGAATATCTATGAAATTAATAAAGAGTTAAGAGGCGACAAAGTAGACAAGTTAGGTCAAGTTAAAAGGGCATATTAAAGGTCGAAATAACAACGAAGAGCACTTAACCAAATAACAGAGGTAACAGTACATCTACCCTGGCTGGTATCAAAATAACAAAGTTTACCAAGGAAGGTTTATTATAATGACGAATTTTTGCTCTTAACGCATAAAGGCGGTTTTAACTTCCTAATTGCTAGCTAGGAATTTCACAAACTTTAGGATACGCCAACCTCCAAACACGTTTTATGAATGGATAGGTTTAAAAGACGTGTAAACATCAATTTTATGTCCTGTCTGTATAATACGTTCTCTTAATGGTGAGAACAGGAGACCTAGCTCCTCTGTTTCGAAACATACTATAGATGGGATAGGACATAAAATTGATGTTTACACATCTTTTCAATCTATCCATCCATAAAACGTATTTGGGGAGTATCCTAAAGTTTAAACCACTTTTATGAGTTCAAACCAACAATTTGTCGTCACACTAAGTCATTCCTGGCAAACTCTCTTCTGATACTAGCCAGTAGACGTACCTCTCTCTTCTGTTAATATCATTCAACGGTACTAGAGATACAATCGCAAATAACTGGTTAATTTCAAAGAACACATCGATTGGTTCCTTATGTTCGTACCACTAGACTTCAGTTTGAGTCGTTACAGAGACTGTAACAGATAGGATAGCTTAAGCAATTTTATAACGATCTCTCACATTCACTTGATTCGCCTTATCCATTCTCTTCAGACTCACATCAGTGTAATGTAGGAATAAGAATAATACAAAACAATAGGAAGACAATAACAATAGGAAGATAAACATTCATTAAGCATTTCATCATGAATTGACATCGGTTAGAGGGCTATTGGAAAACCAGCTGGGAGTACTGAACAGCCAACTGTTTCATCCTAGTTTGGGACTCCTCTTTATTAGTACACACCCATCACCCATCGGTTCGAGTCAGCGAGCTCGTAGACCATTAAGCCACTACTGGAACGTGATTCAATGATCAGACCATGAATTCCAACTTCTGTCAATTCATGATATGGCGCGACCACCTAGGGGTAACTACCTACCTGAACAGGGGGCAGTCACTAGTGGATTGTCAGGAGTTGGAATTCATGGACTATTGGATCGAGTCCCGAGGGTTTAATGGCCTACGAGCTCGCAGGCCTTGTAACCAGAAGGTCCTGGGTTCGAACGCTGGCAGTGGATGCGTACTGATGAGGCGTCGTAAACTAGGCTGACGAAACAGCTGTCCAGTACTCCTTGGCTAGTTATCCAGTGGTTCTCTAATCCACATCAGCTTACGATGAAAGCCTGGAACCAATCCATCAAATCTGTACAAACCAACACTTGAAAACATTAAGCAGTTGAAGGACAACCTTGTCGTTGAATAAAGAACTAAGATACGATAGATTTCGGTAACTCCAAACTATAGCAGCCCAAAACGAAACCACCTACCTAATGAACGCATTAATGACCTTGAGCAACTACTCAAATAAGTCCGTGGTATGTAGGAGGAATTATGGATGATGTATACGAATTACGCGCTAAATTTCATCTAAATCTAGTTATTTAAGTATTGGTTAGACCACAAGGTCGTTGGAAGGGAGAACATGTGTAGCCAACTATTGTCCATGGGCTATATTCACAACGTGGTCAATCATACCACTGACGATTTCGTTAATCTTTTCAGTGGGACTCACATAAGTTCCATTTAAAGTTCCTAGAGTTACCTAAAAACAAAGAGAATCAGAGCGGTGAATTAGTCGAGAAATAAGATGATTTACAGATATCTCAACGAATTCATGTACAGAAATACGTTTAACCTGACTATGAGGACTTCTGTGAGGAAATTGGGAGGTTTTATTGGAACATATCTAAGAATAAAGCAGTATGAAGACGTAATTTGTCTGAATCATATACTATTATATTTGCGTAAAACATTTCGAACAATCTGATCACACATGAACTTGTCATAGGAAAATAGATATATGAAATTAATAAAGACTTAAGAGGAGGTGAGAAAATAGACAAGTTAGGTCAAGTTGAAAGGATAGGACAGTATTTTAATTACCACAGTTTCTGCCCTGATCGGTACAAAACAGCCTTAGTAAGGTGCCTCTTCATTAGAATCCAACGAATATGCACTGGAGGAAGACACACTTGATGAAGAAGAAAGCAGGTTGGCACAAACTCTGTCTGGTTGATAACAATTATCCAGACAAGTTCATCAGGAGATATAAAGTAGTCAATGGAACACCAAGACCCACTCTACAACTCGCCCCTAAGAAATACGTGTACATCAAGCTACCCCATATGCGGCATCAAAGCAGCTTGATAACTACACAAAGACTGAACACTGCTGTTAAAAAGACTTTTTATGCAGCTAATATCATAATAATAGAGAAAGTGAAGCCAATATATCCATCTAAGTCCTTTTAACATGCGAAAAATGATGTCACATCTCACTGTATTTACCAATTTGAATGTACATGTGTGATATGTATCCATATATATATATATGTGTATGGTGGTCTCTCTTTCTGTTGCTCTCTTAGTCTGTGACCATTTCACTTTGATGAACCTGTCTCCTTTAACAATGTATATTCCCCTTATATTATATATAATATGTGTGTTTGTTGACATGTCTGCTATATTTTGCTATGAATATATGGGTCGATACTCCATTATAATTAGCCAATCATGTTAAGACTGTCTATTGATTTTTCACACACTTGTTCGGACATTCATATATATATATATATATATATATATATATATATATATATATATATATATATATATATATATTTGCTCTCACACTCTTGTGTGACTTTAATTCTCCTGGTGTTTTGGAAAATAGAAGTATCATCGCAAACCTAGTGGTCTTCTGATTTCCGTTTTTCTTGCGTCAGGACTATAAAATTCTCGACCAGTACATAGCAATAATTTGGCGACGAGCACATAATAATGTGGACAAACATACATAGGGAGGACTCATCTATCTCGGCAAGTAAGCGCTGACTTCAGAGCATATTCCTAAATAGCTCCAGAAACAAATAGAATAATCAGAACTCATAATGGTGAGAATAGGAGACGTAGCTCTTCTATTGAGAAACATATTACAAAAATAGGACATGAAATTGATGTTTACACATTTTTTATACCTATTCATAAAATGTATCTGGGGCGTATCCTAAAGTTTTTGGAAGCCCAAGCTGGCAATCATGAAGTTCAAGCCACCTTTATGCATTCCAAGCTACAATGCGTCATCACTGTAAACCTTCCTTGGTAAACTTTGTTATTTTGATACCAGCCAGGGCAGATGTACTATTACCCCTTTTATTTGGTCTTGTCTATTTTCTCAATTCTTAACTGTTTTTGAACAAAGCAAAAACTACAGTTTTAGCAGAATAATGTGGTGCCATTTTTTATTTTGTTGCCTTCTCGTCAGCTGCTTACAGGGAAAAGACATTATTAAATATATCTACAAAAACAATTTTAACATACACAGAGTTCATTTTTAAACAAAAACCAATCGATCAATATTTGCACTTGATGAAAATTGCCTCAGCAAACTTAAGGAGAATTGAGCTGTTTCGCCTATTGATAATTTCGAACGACTTTTTGACGTCCACCTCATGACCGGTTGTGTCAAAAAGATGCCTGGCGATGGTACTGTTTAAAGCATTTGTTCCCTTTAGACGTAAGCCTTTTGGTACACGTTCAGAAAATTGTAGATATGCCTTTCTTTCTGTCCTTCCAATGTAACTGCTCCCGCAGATACATGTAAATTTGTATATACAGTTGAAGTTAACATGAGAAACTCTTAACTGGTTTATTAATTTCATTTATACTCAGTACTATGATAAATCCGTGTGTGATCAGATTGTTCGAAATGTGTCATGCGTAAATACAACAATACACAATTCAGACAAATTACGTCTTCTTATTGCTTTGTCTAAACATATTCTTCATCAGTTACTAGAGTTATATGTCTACAATAATTAAAGAATTACTGTTAATAACAACAGTAATATTTTAAATAACATTGAATCAGTAATATCGACAGGTTACATTTGGAAAGTATCTACAAGTGATAATATGTAACATTATAACACTAAAATGAATAATATCGGAAAAATTAACGAAATTAATACAGAATTTATGAATTTATAGGTTCCATAACAGATCAGGTTAACACTAGTGGATGAGCCAATTTATTTTGCACGCCAAGCTCTAGTTGACTTAAGCGAAATTCACTGGCCTCTACACTTTGGAGTGTTGACTATCTAGAGGTCAGTAGCAGTTTATTTTGTTTCCAGTTGATGATCAAAAATGATTCTATAATACTGGCTTTACGACCTGTTTGGTCAAGACTGGCGAATATCGGACTGCTGATGGTTTTTGCTACACATTTATTTAACCACACTGACAGATGTTACCAAGGACGAAATACCGAGCTTCTAGAGAAATGGACAACAATGAACTGGTTTCACAGGTGCAGTTGAACTAATAAATACAGTAATAGGTGGATAGTTCAGATCCTTCGTGCAAAGTGTATAGGTTGCAGCTTGTCGGCCTTAAACTTTCTTTGAATAGATTTTCTCAACCTGTTGGTTATTAATTCGCTTGGTATATCGCCTCTGAACTGCAGTCATATATATTAATATATATAGTCTTCTTGTCAACAGACATAGAAGAATTCCTTTCGACTGTCTTTTCTAAGTTTTTCATGCCGAACTTTTCAGCCTATCTGTTCACAGTTAACGTGTCATATACGACCTTCAGTTCGTCTTCAATACTTGTAGGTTATTTAGATAGTGCGCTGAATAAGTGGATAATTTGGGACACTGCGTTTAGTAAGGCTGGTAAAGTATAGCCTATCAACAACACAACCAGACCCGATGTGACACCAACATACGCAATAACAAACTTCCACTAAAATTCATGTGGGTAACTCCAATAATTTCAAGGTAAATATCGTTGGGAACCAACAGCAGCTGGTAAGCCATTGGAACTAAAAAATACTAGGCGGTGACTGTTCTGTATTAGGAATCAGAAGAAGTTAGAGTTCATAGGCTTTTGCATTCCATCTCACTGACTCGACAGTCAACAGGCTTTGACTCGTAACCTGAATGTAATCGGTTCAATCTATAGTAGGGTCATGGACGCATAATACTGAAGAGTCCTCAACCAGGACGAAAGAAATATCCAGTACTTCCAAGTTTTAGCCTCGTGATTTGATAATTGTTAAATGAGATCAATCTTAACATAATTGATAGCATAGAGTGTTCTACTACTGAGGACTATCGTTGTTACTGCTATTCCATAGGATCTATACAGCACATCTTCATTTCATCCTGCTTTCCTATGCAGTACTCTTTAGTCTGCTTCGTCTCATTTCCTCTTTACACGATACCCTTTTTATCACCTTCGGGTCTAAACCAAACCAATGGTTTCCGACCCGGGTTCCACTTAAGTGACTGTTTGGCACACGACGTCATTCAGTGGTCTTCCCCCCGTATGCCCGATCCACCTTCAGAATGTTATTGGTTAGTTCACTGCCATATTTCCTCCTGCCAGTCAACTGATCTATAGTATCGAGCAAGAGAAGCAACCTCTTGATGGAAGTCTGCAATAGCTTGTTGGAAATGCTTTTCATGGTGACATCGTAAGGTCTCTGAACAATATAGACACACTGACTTACTTAGCATTAGCGCTGACAAATTAGAGTTCTATTTTTTCTGCTGAGTTCGGCAGATTTCCTCACTGAGTTGAAATGAATAAAGGTCCACAGGATTTCATCATGAGCTGACATAGGTTACTGAACCTGTGGAAAACCTAGAAGGGAGTCCTCGATAGCTGTTTCGTCCCACCACTTTGGGACTCTCCACCAGTACGCACCCACCACCAAGATTCGAATTCAGGATATTCTGGCTACAAGGCAAGCAAGCTTGTAGACTATTAAGCCACTGGGACCCTATTCAGTGGCCAGAACCATGAATTACAACTCCTACCAAACTCAAGATACTGCCCAATCATTAGCCAATGTCATCACTGGCGAGTATTTGTCCTCACACATGACCTGCTGTACCTCACTGGTCATGACTTCCTATTAGAACCCAGGTAACTACCTCCCTGAATAGGCAGAAGTTGGAATTCATGTGCTGGTTATTGAGTTGGGTCACAGTGGCTTAATGGTTTACGAGCTAGCTCGCCTTGTAACTAGTAGGTCCTAGATTTGAACCCCTGGTGGTGGGTGCCTATTGATGAAGAGTCCCAAACTGGATCGAAACAGCTTTCCAGTACTCGCAGCTGGTTTTCCAGTGGTTCTTTAAGTGATGTGTCAGCTCATGATGAAATCATGTAACCAATTAACTCACTACAAACCAACAATGGAATAATATAGGTCTGTGTCGCTTTTCCGATTCTACTTTTGACATTTTCATTCATTCGTGTTGTCTACCTGCAGTTGAAACAATGCTGTATAGATAAGTGATAGAAGTGACTTCCTCAAAATTTCACCAGTTGATGATCAGTGTTTCTTGTTGTTGGTGAGCTACCTTCCATCACTTCTGTCTTCTTTACTAAATTAGATTAGAACTAAATATTTACTGTAATGTGTTCCTTGTGTGATACTTTTGTAATTTATATAAATTTAGAAAAAAGCAACTGATTGTGTGAAGAAATATATTCGTTTCCCAATCAGTTCCTCATCATCCACCTGGCTCTACACCGATATATGTTTCTTTTTTTTTAAGTCGAAATTCTTTACTAACCAAGTGGTTATTTTAGTGAATCAGGTTTAGGTATACAAGGGGTGGGGTGAAATTAAGTGGTCAAAAGTCATCACGACACCAACTAATTAATAGATGTTAGTAACAAGATGTCTAAGTTTTCAAGGAGCGATGGCTGAAAATTAATTGTGAAATTCAAGATAAGTTGATTCCTAGGTGTCAGCAACAAGTTATTACATTATCAAAAAATTTGTGAAACAGTGACAATGATTAGGAAGAATAGAATGACTCAGGAGAATTACGTAAGATACAAACGAGTGAATAGAATTATCTAGAATTGTAAAAATTACAAAAAATCAAAAGATAGTTACAAGGGGGAGGGGAAGAGTTACTTTTAAAAACCTAATACATATTATGTATTTAGTCAAGGTTGGCTTAAATGGGCTGTACAAATGTCTTCAGAACTGGCTCACAGATTTGGCTTGTTCAGATGAATTCCGACTAGCCCCTACTATATGTAAAAGTTGTACTCGTAGACCATGAGGCGAGGAGTTGGGTGATATACGATAAATAACTTGAAAAGCTTTGTTAAAGTGAGTCGATTTGATGTCCAGTATCGATAACGAGTTGACTTAGTATTTAGCTGCACATAGAAGCTTTATTTGGACCTTTGCTAAACCCAGATGTGAGATGTTTAGAAATTCGACGATAAACTTTCCTGATCGTACGCTCTAAGTAACTACCTCCGGATGGACGGATAAACTGGTGAATACCCATGGAAGAGACGAAATAGTGCAGTCTGTCTATATTTCTTGAACTAAGCATTAGTTGGCTAGTCAATATACGGAGTATAGCTTAATAAATAGCTTATATAAATACAAATATCAATGATGCTTCTATTTTCCTTTTTAGTGTTCCCGGCATAAAATTTGAATACGACTGTTGTCCTGGCTATGAAAAAACAAAACTATTAGATAACAAATGTGCTTTTGTCGATCGATCATGGCAAACCATTATAAGTCAACTTAGAGAAAGCAAGTATTTACAAACAGCTCAAGCGTTAACCAAAGACAACAAACTACAAGATTTATCTGCCAGCCCAGCTAACGGTGTTTATACAGTATTTGTTCCACAAAATGATGATGATATCATCTCGAAAGAAATGGATTATGTCAGGTAATATTTGAAAGAAAAAAACTAACTGATCATTTTTGAGTTTTTAAACTTTTCTGTGCTTTCTCTGCTATTATTTTCATTATTATTATTATTATTATTTCCTTTAATTCCTAGAGGAACATAGGGCTTCAGCCAAACGTCTTCATTGCATTTGGTTCTCTGCAAGAGTTTTCACCTGTCTCCAAGTCTCTCCACATGCTTTCATCTCCTCTTCACATGACGTCTTCCAAGTCACCCTTGCACTGAAGACCAACTCATCGCTTCCCTTTCGGGTTCCACTGGAGGGCTCATCTAGTGATGTCAATTGACGGTTTCCTCAGAGTATGTCCTGCCAATCCATCTTCATTTCTTTCTGCTCATTTGTTGCACAATCGGTTCCTGCTGGGTTGGTTCGCCCATTGACAGATATCCCTCCATGTTGCCGATCTTTTCTGGCCGTCCATCTAATCTTGAGTAGCATTGAGCGAAGACAGCTGACGCGCTAAGTCTCTGATCCGTATAGTAGCACTGACTTCAAAATGGAGTTGAAAATCCGGATCTTATTTTTCATACTGAATGCTGTTGATCTCCACACAGACTTGAGAATACTGAAAGCTTGCTTGCCTTGCTTCCCCGATCCTCACTATGATACCCTCATCACTTCCGTCCACCTGTAGATGAAACGACGCTTCTCAGATAGGTAGATAAAGCAGGTTGTTTTTTTCAGGTTCCTCCCATTTATGCCGATTGTTGTCGATTTTAGTTGTTGCAGTTGGCCGGGAATCTTCATCATTACATCAGTTTTCTCTGTGTTCACCTAAAGTTCTATCTTCTCTGGATACTTCTTCTGCCAACTTGTTGTTTTTCACTTGCATATCTTCCAGTTTGAGAGAAATCAGACAAATATCATCGGTGAAGTTCAGATCCTCCAGGCTTTTATTGTGTGTGTGTGTCCATTTTATTCCTGTCTCCTCACTGCCCGCTGTCTTTCCATATAACTCTAATATATTGAAGTTCATAATACTTTCTGTGCACTATAAGGGCAAGTGATTTGATGGTAGCATGCTCGCCAACCAGACAGTGTGCATTTTCTGGCACGATTCCAGGCTGACGCGCTAATAGATCCCGCCTAACTCACTAGTTGGTAGTAAGCAAAGAAAAAAAGAAAGGTTGGCTGTCGTAAAAACGATACTACATTTACCGAAGCGTCATAAAGGCTTGAAGTTCTAACTGGAACGCAAGCCAACGTAAATATTAGGATAATTATGAAATTCTAGATTTACAACTTAGAGGTGATAGTGTGGTGAGAGGTGTCTACAGACCAAAATTGTAGACAACAACTGACGTCAGTGTTCACGTCCCGAATTGGGGTCATGAGAAAAAAACACAGTAACAAAGCGTAACCTTGAGGAACTCAACAACTAGTCACAGAAGACTTAACATGTGTAAATACTATTCGCAGATATATGGCTTAACTTTCTAAGAAACGGCCACAAAGAGATGATAGAATAACCTTCACCAAGAAAAAAACCAATCAGAAGACGTTACATCTCTGCTAACAATAACGCTAATAATAATGTGTGTAAAAATCTATAAAGATCTGTTGATTTTCTGAATAAGCGATCTGTTGCCTGGCCCTTGTTTTCTGTCGTTACAAAAGTACACCACTTAGATCACAATATGTACTCTGCTTGATACTATTAATGGTAATGAAGAAAGTGTGCATAATGGGATGGAAGTAAATACTACTAACTGGTTGAAACTAGTAGTTGTATACTACTTACCCTAACCAATAATGCTTGCTAGTCAGATCTATGTGATCTAATCACTTATCAGACGTTTCGTTCTCTTCGGGCTAAACACACTAGTAGTGTACTCGGTTTGACGAAGATGACAGAGTCGAGTGGATTCAAAATCACTCAATTTCTGGCTAGTTACTTAGGTGAACTGATAATACCACATGTATGCTGAGATGAATCGAGTACACCAATGGTGAACTTATCCCCAAAGGAACAAAATAGCCGTTACTTCTTTTCTTCTAGAAAGCACTATACTGGTTAATTTCAGTATTATATAACTACTTATTTTAGTTAGTGAGTAGAATACAGTTCCATGCAATTAAGGATAACTATCTTCAATGTAAGTGCGTCAAGTGGTACAGCGGTTAAGACGCTCGCCGACCATGCACATGGTCCGGGGTTCGAGCCCCGGCCGGCGCACTCCTTTACCTTGCTAAGCCAGTAGTGAGACTGGTAAAGAGGAAAGGTTGGGCATGAGGCTAGCAACCCCATCCTGTAAAAATCAACACTGCTATGGAATCTTCAAGCCTCTAGCTTGAGCCCTATGATCCACTGGGAACGTGAAGGAAAAAAATCTTCAATGCAGGAATGACTGTTAAACATCATAAAACTATACAATGTCTCTGAGGTATCCATAAGGAGGATTATATACTGTATTCTGTACTCAGTTCACTCCGAATATCAGTTGAAATTTGAATAAGAATTAGTAATAGTGCCTATAATAACATAACTTAGCAGTGATTGTTCCGAATATTGTAGTAGTATGTTACACACAAAGTTTATTTATTTTTATTTATTTTCGATTACAGCTTGATTCCACACCGTATTTTCGGTACAAGTATGGAGTTTTCAGCATGGATATCGGTAGCCTGAATTTCGCAGGCCGATCGTAGATATCAAGTGTGCGTTGGCAGGGGATCGAACCTCGGACCATGTGCATGGTCGGCGAGAGTCCTAACCATCGTGCCACCGACGCACACGCACACAAATTACTCAAAATCTGAGTTGAAAAAATTAGTTTGCCACAAAAAAATCTGATAAAAGTTTTCGTCAATAAATCATGGAAATTCATCGGTACTTTCCTATAGTAGTATTTCATTCAGGATCATGGCTACACCGCTTTGTTTGAAGAACACAATTCAGAAATCCCAGAAAAATGCAGTGTGACTTTAGTTACACATCACTTGTAAAGTATTGTAACTATAGATGAAAGAAATAAACTCCTACTTAATATAGACTTCTTAGAATGGTGGCCACATTGAAAACCTGACTGGTGATAGAATTCAGTCTGCACCAAAGAAAGGACTAGACACATCACACTATTTACTAGTTTCCAATCACAGTGTCCAATACATTCCTATAAGAAGGAGGTCACTTGAGAGCCCGAAAAGCTCAATGGTAACGTCTCCGACTGCAGGCGGCACTAGGTGACGCGGGTTCGAATCCCAGGACGGACTCGAGTTCCTTCAAGGTGGCAGATACGCCTTGTTGACGAGTGCCAGCTAACACAAAACTTAGATCCAAGGCTTCATCGTGCCGATCGCCTCCAACTATCTAATATCATCAAATCAATGTGCACTGTGATGGTGAGTCACATAGTAGCATGGTGACCACATTGCAAACCTCCTGACTGATAGAATTCAGTCTGCACCCGAAAAAGGAATAGACATGTCACACTAGTTACTGGTGTCCAATCAAAAAAGACTTCCTTTTTACTGAGATTCATGAAGTCACGATCAAAGAATTGTTTAACTGAACCAAAATGTACCACTAGCGGCATCTTTGAACCAAAAGGAAAAACAAACACACTTAACAAATAGTTTGTGTAATGACTTGATATTATAATCCACAGCTTGTAAAAGAGCCCTGAAGATGGCACATAAACTCTGTTTAGCACAGAAAAATCAAAGAACAACATAACAACAAAGTGTAAAACGTCAGAAAATTCATGGACCAGTCACTGGATTCCATTGAAGTGACTGAATTGTCCAACAGTTTTCCTTGTAACCTGAAGGTTATGGGTTCAATCCCTGATGGGGTTGTATGTGAGTATGGCTAAAGAGTCCTGAACTGGGACGAAACAGATATCCAGTACTCCATGGTTTTGTAGGTGATGCAATTCGGTAATCTAACTTGAAACCAATGGCATTCGTGTTAAGCAACATTCAGAATCATTCAGAGACAGGTGAAATTAGGTATTTTGTTCAGTTCAAAACAATTCGATATAACTGAAGTAAACTGGGGTCTTTTACCAATTTTATGACGTGAAATAGTAGGGTTCAATACAAATGTTTACAGTCCTTTTGTTGACGTGACTGGACCTCATGTAACTTTTAAACACCGGTGGTTCAGTGTTAGAATACTCAACAATCACTCACGTGATCCGAATCTGATGAACCTCACCGAATTTACTAGTACATAATAAGACTAGAAAAGAAGCAAGATCATGCATGGGGCCATCAACTTCCCATCATTTGAACGACAATACTACTAATGTGGTGAGAACTGTCTGCTAGCCATATTGGTAGACAGTAATTTACGTCAATGTTTATGTCCCAAATATTGGTCATGAAAAAAGAACAAAAACAAAGACTGACTCAACAACCAATCATAGAGGACTTTGTTTGCGTGGGTGGATACAATTTGCAGATAGGTAATCTGACATTCAAGAAATAGCCACAAAGAGGTGTAGGGTTAAATTTCAGTGAGAAACAACCAATCAGAAGACTGTGTTTTTCTGCTAATCTATAATAATGTACATGAAAATCTATAAATGTGTGTTGATTTCCTTAAAAAACGGTCTATTGTCTGGCCCTTGTTTTCTGTTGTTACTCTACTACTAGTGAAACTTCAAACCTTAGCCCTGGAGCTATATGTGCGTCGGTGGCACAGTGGTTAGGACTCTCGCCGACCATGCACATGGTCCGAGGTTCGATCCCCTGCCAACGCACACTTGATATCTACGATCGGCCTGCGAAATTCAGGCTACCGATATCCATGCTGAAAACTCCATACTTGTACCGAAAATACGGTGTGGAATCAAGCTGAAATCAAAAATAAATAATGTTCCACTTAAGATGCAACCAATGGAATAAAACTGCTGAACATCGTTTTCATTGCAATTCATTTCTAGCAGCATTCATTCAGCATTCCATTTTAGAAAGCTTTCTGTGGAATAAAACACGTCATTTTTGTTCACGTGATATTATTACCGATACTTTTACCTACAAGATAATATTTTATTTGTTTAGCAATACAGAGGCTGTCGCAGGAATAGTTTCTTCTGGAAGATGGTACTCGAAGGGTTTTCGTAATGGACAAAAGATACCAACAGTGAAAGGTACTTTTATAAAAGTGACAACATATTCTACCGGAGTAAGTTGTTTGCATATTGTGTTTTTTTTTTTGAACGCAGTAGACAGGTCGACTGAATTCTGTTAGTTAGGGAAAAACAGGACTTTTTAATCAGTTAACAGTACTGCGACTAACCAATAAATAATAATTTCAGTGCAGTTATCATATCCGTGAGCATGCAAATTCGGCACTATGGTGGTACAGTATAACTCCTAGATGAATAATATTTTTATTTTGATAAAATTACATACAGTGGTGTTATACAGTAAGTAATATTTACTAATGACCACGTTTCAAGAACAAATAAGCGCCATTCATAATCATGTCGAGGTACTCATATAAGCTGGTTGCTTCAGGTGTAGTGAGATAATCAGAACACAAGAATTTAGCTAAGGTTAAAATGGTCGACCCTGAGAAGGTAAGTAATTTAGAAAGCACACTTAGCAACTGCACTGCATGCATTAACACACAACCACACAATAAGGTGAATGGGACAGATTAATATATGTGTAAAACTTGGGCACTGTGGTAGTATTTAATTCTATATTAGTTTGTTTATAAGATATGTCACACACACAGTGAGTGAAACAGTATTATTATTTACTGGATGATAAGGTTTCGAACACAAAACATTATTGTTCATAATCATATCATCAGTTATAATCACACGACTTCGAAACTTGAGTTTTTAAATTCCACCAGCCCTATGACGACAAATAGGAGAGAACAAAGAAAACTATAAAATTCAAGTTTCGAAGTTGTGTGATTATAATTGATCGATATGATTATGAACAATAATGAATTGTGTTCGAAACCTTGTCATCCAGTATATAATGACAATGTTTCACACAGTGTGTGATATATCTAATAAACAAACTAATATGGATGGGACAGAGTCAATATTCTAAAAAGTATTATAAGTAGTTGGGAATAAAAGGAGGTTGGTTACTGAATCCTGCCTGGTTCATCGAGTCTACAGCCAACACAACACATACAATAGAAATGACTCAATGCAAATACCACAGATTTGGAAGATATTATTACCACCAGCCATATCGGAGGAGGATAATAAACAATTATTGAATTGAATTTTTGATTTTCCCGTCGATTGACTGGACCGAAGTGCTCGGTCTCAGGTTGACATGTCGGCTTCTTGTGCAGATGCTTAGACGATGTCTGGGGATTTGATTTGTATACAATTGGTGGATGGTGGCTAGCCAATAATTAATATATGACCCGTTGCACAAGAGGTGACTCTCGTGGCCCAAGTGGTCTAGTGGATAACGCTTTGGCGTTTGAAACTATGGGTAGTGGGTTCGAGCCTCGGTGGGAACATCATCACTCACTGAGAAATGCAGGTACATCCAGCTGACTACGAGTCCCAAATAGGACGAAATGCGCATCCTGGATTCCACTGCTAGCCACCATCCACCAATTGTATACAGATAATAAACAATGTTAAAATGTATTCAATTCACATTACAACACTCTAACAAGTAATTTATTTATTTTACTGTAAAACACCTTATTTTCCATCTGATTGTATTTTATTGATAACACTCATATTATAATTTCCGAATGTACATTATCTTATATTACTAATTTTTATTCAAATGTCTAACCGCATCCATTTTTACTCATGTATATTAATGAAGCAAGGAAGTGAGTTATGTAAGTAGTGACTTGATATGATTATGAGTGGCAATAATAAATTGTGTCCGAAATGCGGTCATCAGTCAGTATTACTCTTAAACACTGTGTGATCTTGCCAAAATGAAAATTTTATCCCTAATTCAGTTAGTTATCTAACCTGTTAGCTTGAAATCATACTCCTGATTCTCAAGTATTTTGATCCATTTCAAGCCAGTCAGACTGCTAACCTGGTCAATATTACATGAATCCATGTATTTCTCACCTTCTTCTATACATGTCTATCATGTATACTGTTTGTCATCAGGTTAATATTAAAAATGTTCTATCACATATGACTGTGAATTTATATAAGTAGTAATGACACGTGATTTGAATCGATGTGCTGCCTAACAATTGCAAAGGTTCAGAAAAACTAACAACGGAGAACTTTTAAAGCAAGTAAGCTTGTAGAGATTTGATTAGTTCCAAGTTTGACAAGAGATTTTGGAAAACAAACAGACTAAGTGAAGAAATATATTCGTTTCTCGATTAGTTCTTCATTATCGTCTGGGTGTACACTAATATATAGTTTGCTTTGCATCAAAATTCTTTAAGAAACAAGGGGTGTTTTAGTTAACCGGTTTTAGGTATACGAAGTGGGAGCGGGGGAGGTTAAGAGGCTAAACGTCATCACCTACTAACTAATAGATGTTGGTAGCAAGATATCTAAGTATTCAAGGAGAAAGGGATGAAAATTAATTACGGAATTCAAGATAAGTTGATTCTTAGGCGTTGGCAACAAGTTATTACACAATCCAGAAAGGAGCTGTACAAATTTTTTTTTGAACACTACACAGATTTGGCTTGTTCAGATGAATTCCGATTACCTCTGCTGTGTGTAAAATTCGTAGTCGTAGACCATACAGAAGGTTAGGTGATATACGATAAATAACTTTAAAAGCCTTTTTGGAGTTGGTCGAATAATAAATGTCCGGTATCGCCAACGACATGACCTAGTATTGAGCTGCGTATACCTTTATTCGGATCTTCTTCAAAAAAAACTTAAGTAACTTCTTACTAACATCTACTAGTTAATTGGTGTAGTGATGACTTTTAACCTCTTAATTTCACACACACATACACCCTATACCTCAAACTTATTCATTAAAATAAACGCTTGATTGGTAAAATTTGATGTTAAACAAACTGTGTGCTAGTGTAGGGCCGACGTGGAGGGACTAGTTGAAAAGGAGTGTATATTTCTTTACTCAATCTTTGGCTTTTTCTAAATGTCTAAATAGTAATTTGGAAATTGCTAACCACAGATTGACTTAACTTACAGAAACCGCTGGACAGCTATTTCGTCACACTTTGGGAAGTTTCAGTAGTACGCACTAATGGTGCCACTAGGTATGAAATTATAAAAGCAGTGTGTGTGTGTGTGTGTGTCAACATAATGAAATTGCTTATCACATTCGTGTTGATTTTTTTCATTTCATGAGGGGTGGTGGTTGGTGGTTTTTGTAACCACGTCAAATTCCATTCAAGTCCATCAATCCTATTCAAACGATTTGGATTCCACTTGATATGAAGTACTTCTGATGATATTAGATGTTCTGTGTGATTTCTGAAATGCTTTTCCTGGATTATTTCAATATTGTCAAAAATCAATTTTGTAACCTGATTCTATAGCGTGTAGACAACCCTGTGGGTGGCCAATGATTTTTCAAGCTTTTTCTAGCTCAACTGGATTTGTCAGTCGTCGAATTGAGGTGGCTTTACAGTGTTCATTTTTTCTGATCTTGATCTCTCTCTGACGGTGTTTATCCGATGTATGTCTTCTCAAATTCCAAACATTTTATTCTGTAAACACAATTAGATTGAGAATCTTTAGAAATTTAGTCTTTTATATGGACAGGGTTGATTTGTAGTGAGTGTGTGTGTGTGTATCTGATGCTTAGGAGAAAACTCTGATATTTTGCTTATTGAGTTCTCTTCTGATGTCGTTTGATGCATCTGATCTCCATGAAATGACAACTGTTGAGATCCATGTTTTTGGGAATACGTGTTCGACCATACTTAATTTCAGTGTTGATTTTGTTGATGAATTTCCTCGGGTAGTTAGCTGTTTTGCTTGACAGTCTTATTCATGTTTGATATTTCTTCTTCTTCTTTTTCTTGCTCATCCGTTAACATCAAAGAGTGTGGTAGTCTGAGAAGACTTGAAACAATTGATATCTTTGTGCTGATGGGATGTGATGATCTGAAGTCTAAATATTTGTTGTTGGAGTGGGTTTTTGCTTCCTGAATATGGGATATTACCAAAATGTCCATTTTCCCTCCTCTTAACTAGGCAGACAGTCTAGAAATGGCAGTTCACCGAAGTTTGATTCTGTGTCTGGAAGTAAACTGGATTCTGGGAGATGGATTGTTTAGTTTCTCCAAGAATAAACTGTGTAGATCTCATTTTAGCACTACAAAAGTATAATCTATTATCGTCTTAATCTTAATTTCTTATCCTTCTTTCTTCTTAACTATGGCAACTTCAACTGTGATAAAATTCTCACCTGTCGTTTTGCATGAATGAATCGTTATAGTTCATTTACATATCAGTCATATATCTCCTAATGTATTTTCGATAGTATATAAATATATATGTACTATTGTACGTCAAATACCCAGCAGCTGAGGAGTTCTACCGAAACTCGATCAACTATATTAAATTCTACTTTATTAACATAACTACAGGCGGAACTGACGAGGACATCAAAGCCAGAATCGGAAAAGCAAGACAAGCTTTCATTACTCTCAAATCTGTGTGGAGGTCAACAGCACTCAGCATCAAATATAAGATCCGGATTTTCAACTCCAATGTGAAGTCAGTGCTACTATACGGATCAGAGACTTTGCGAGTCATAAAGAGCATCTCAAACAAACTTCAGACCTTCATTAACAGCTGTCTTCGCTCAATACTCAAGATCAGATGGCTGGCCAGAAAAGATCAGCAACAGGGATCTCTGGCAATGAGCGAACCAACACAGCAGGAACCGATTGTGAAACAAATAGGCAGGAAGAAATGGAGATGGATTGGACTAGCCATACTCTGAGGAAACCATCAAGTGACATCACTAGACAAGCCATTGCTCGAGTGGAACCCGAAAGGGAGGCGGCGAGTTGGTCGTCAGTGCAAGGGTAACTTGGAGGAGGTCATGCGAGGAGGAGATGAAAACATGTTGGCAGACTTTGAGTGGGGTGAAAAAGTTGTCAGAAAACCGAAGGCAATGGAGGTGCGCAGCTGAAGCCCTATGTTCCTCTAGGAACTAAAGGATACAATAATAATAATAACATAACATTTGTTAGATGTCTTATAGGCAGGTTAGAAAACTAATTATTTCCATTGCAGAGACTGTTTACTGCTCCCAGCTAATCAAAGATATACATATACACAGATTACATTTTAGTGTGCGATTGTCCAATAAGGAAGACAAACAGCTTTATCTTATTGACAATACCATTGTATGTCATTCTCTACAGAAAACAAATAATGTCAAAAAATCGGGTTTAAATCGTTTCACTTCATTATGAACTAAAATGAATTTGTATTTAACCGAATTATTGAGCAATCCTCTCTAAACGTACGTACATCCTCTAAGTCTACTGGGTATAACACAAATAGTAGAAAGGATGTCCATTTTCTTGGTTATTCAATTGTTTATACACCTTAATAGTATGATTTAAGTTTTATATTTGAAAGTTAATGACATGTAAACTCTTTGTTAAAACTATCTTAGTAGATATGTACATTAAAATTTGAATAAACTTGCCTTATCAAATATTAATTTTCGAGTATTGGTTTTGTAGCAATTTGATTGATTGGTTACAGGATTTCATCATGAACTGACATCAGTTAGAGAAGCATTGGAAAACCAGCTGGGAGTACTGGACAGCAGTTTCGTCCTACTTTGGGACTCTTCAGCAGTTTGCATCCACCGTGGTTCGAATTCAGGAATTTCTGGTTACATGGCCAGAGAGATCGTAGACCATTAAGCCGCTAGGACTAAGGAGTTTCAAACTGGGACGAAACGGATGTCCAGTACTCCAAGGTCTTCCAATAGTTCTCTAACCAATGTCAGCTCATGATGAAATCCTCCAACCAATCAAATATAATTTTGTTTTACTTATATTTATAAGTGATTAAAGATGCCCAGTTATTACTCTTAAATGACTGATAAGTGAATAAAGAATATTCGTTTCAACAACTTCATCATCCTAAGGTTCTACAGTTAAATATACGTAATAATTAGAAAATTAATGTTATAGACAGCATTAATGTTTTTATATAACATCCTGCGTTCCGACACGTGAATGAACATTCTGTGCGCCTCGTTGGTGTAGTGTTGAATATCTACGTCTGTCACGTGGAAGACCTAGGTTTGATTCCCTGTCAAGGAACTGGCTTTTCTGGGTCAGCGGCCCAGAAGTAAAACGCTTAACAACCACACAGTTGGTTTTGGGTTCGATTCCCGGCACACTTACTCTTAAAACTCGCTAAGCCGATAGTTAGGCCGGTAAAGAGGAAAGTTTAAGTGTGTGGATAGCAATTCCACTCCGTCAAAATAGAAACACTGCCATTGAAACCTTAGAGCTCTAGCTTGAAGCTCTAAGTTCCACTCGGAATGTAAAGGAATAAAGTAAATAAATAATAATAAATAAAAACTTCGAGTTAATAATACCGATAGATTACAGTTCCAAAGCCTCTTTGCGTGATAAAATGCATCCAATATAATTTTCTATAGTTTAGTTTGTAAGGGTTACTTATGTTTTTTACGAGTTGATCACGGATTGATATCAGTTAGAGAACCATTGAAAACCAGCACTGGAGTACTGGACAGCTGCTGTTTCATCAGCCTAGTTTGGGAATCATCGTCAGTACGCACCCACCAGTACCATTCGAACCCAGGACCTTCCGGTTACAAGGCAAGCTCGTTTAACATTCAGCCACTGGGACCCGATTAAATGGTTAGCCTATGAATTCTAACTTCTACCAATTCGTGATTTAGTGCGAACCCACTGCTAGCTAGTGACTTGCTACAGGATGGAGTTTCTTGGAGTTCTAATGAGAAGTCGTGACCTGTGCGGCCTAATTAGATGTCACATGTGTGGATGGGTTTCCGACCAACGATAATGGTTGGTGGTCGAGCTACAATCACGAATTGGTAGAAGTTGGAATTCATGGACTGGCCATTGAATTGGGTCCCAGTGGCTGAATGGTATATGAGCTTGCCTTGTAACCGGAAGGTCCTGGGTTCGAATGGTACTGGTGGGTGCGTACTGACGATGATTCCCAAACTAGGCTGATGAAACAGCAGCTGTCCAGTACTCCAGTGCTGGTTTTCAATGGTTCTCTAACTGATATCAATCCGTGATCAACTCGTAAAAACATCCAATATAAACCTAAATTGAAAGCAGATAAATTTTTGAAACACAATACAGAATTTTTAAATTTATAGATACTACAACAGTCCAGGATAGCAATAGTGGCTGAACTTGTTTCTTTCTTTTGCAGAGTTACAGTGGTACCCAACTACTTATCTCAATCAATTAGTTAATATATATTTATAGAAATATGCATGCATGATTACTCCCTTGACTATAATTCATTGATAAGCGATCAGGTGATATCATTTTGTTAGATTTAGTAGATTTAACTTCACACCACCAAACGTGAACCTACACACATAGTTGATAATACACTTTCTTAATTGTCTGTTTGATTGTATACCTGTCATCACGTCAAAAGTACACTACATACAACAGCATTAGTGAATGAGTCCTGTTAACTTTGATATGAGATTATGAGCATGGATAAATTATCCATGAAATGTCATCAGAAAACTTGAGTTTTTATAGTTTTTTTTCGTTCTCTCCACCCTGCTGTGACATTAGCCTTTAAAACTGTCATCTTATCCCATCATCATCCTATTGTATCGTTGGTTGTGTGTAATTGCATGTAGTCAGTGCTATAGCTGAACTATTCTCTAGATTTCTTATCTTGTTCAGGTCAACTAATCTAGATTTCGCTGCTAGGTTTTTGTGCTCGACCAGTCTGACTGTCCCTGTTCTACTACTTTCACCTATGTATTTGACCTGACAATCATCGCAAGTAGGGTATTAGATAAACTAAATTGTTTTGTTTAATTGGCTTTACAGGATTTTCTAACCGGAAAAGCTTGTTTCTAATTAAGTTTGTGGGTAGTTTAAATGTCAGCCACTCTTATTTCTGCCTTGTTAAGAATTCTGCGTAAGGTTTCCGAGGTTAAAGGATCCTGTGGAGTCTTTAAAACAAAACAATTTAGTTTATCTAATACCTTGCGCCCGATGATTGTCAGGTCAAATTGATAGGTCAAAATAGTAGAACAGGGTCAGTCGGACTAGCGAAGCATAAAAACTTAGCAAAATGTAGATTAGTTGACCCGAATAAGATTAGAAATCTAGAGAATAGTTCAGCTATAGCACTGCATGTATTTACACACAACCATACAATAGGATGATGACGGGATAAGATGACGGTTTTAAAATCTAATGTCATAGGGTGGAGGAAGAGATTGATATTAGAAGCTTTGTTTATCGAATTAGCTGAATGGGAATACGTGTAATAGGAATGAGTCAACACCTGTCCACCCGGATATCTGGAAAATTCTACTACCCGAACGACGACAAATAGGATAGAACAAAGAAACCTATGAAACTCAAGTTTCGAAGTCGTGTGATTATAATTGATCGATATGATTATAAACAATAAATTTTGTTCGAAACCGTGTCATCTAGTAAATAATAATAATAATACTGTTTCAAACAGTGTGTGATACATCTAATACACAAACTCATGTAGAATTACTTACTAACACAGTGCCCAAGTTTTACACATATAAAATAATTGTTTAGTGCTTCCTGGTTTCCAAAGACATCTCTCTCTGTCTGATTTTGGTTCATGATAAAGATATAATAACTGAGATTTTAATTATCTGTTTTTATTTGCTGTATTCATTTTACAGCATACATGAGTTATTTTCTTGCATTTTATTTCAGTTAACCTTTCTGGATTGTAAAGTGTTACTGAGTCCAGATCATGAAGCATCAAATGGTCTAGTTCATCAAATCGATGGAGTAAGTTACGCTATAAAAACATATATATGTATATATATCATATTATTATTATTGCTACCTTGGGTTCCTAGTGGAACATAGGGCTTCAACTGCACGTCTCCATTTTCTTCTGTCTTCTGCTATACTTTTCGCCTGCATCCATGTTAATCCATATTCTTTCAACTCCTCTTCACACGATCTCCTCCATGTCACCCTTGCACTGACGTCTCACACGCCGCTTCCCTTTCGGGTTCCACTCGAGGGCTTGGCGCGCGATGTCACCCAGTGGTCTCCTCAGCGGGTGTCCGAATATATATCATATGAAGCTGTGCTATTCTGTCCTTTCCTGGCGAATACATCAAGTATTTTTTTGCCAAATGGAAAGCCCTAAGTATACACTGAATGATCACCAATCAGTTACTAATGTCATACATCTAGTCCTTAATATTGGTGCCGAAGGAATCCTGTCAGTCAACTCTGCATTGTGGTCATTATGCAGGGGGGCTTTCTTTCGCAGCGCACTCTGCAGTTGGTTGATTGCGTATGGTTTTAGGTAGTTAGCGTGAAACCCTCAGCTCTCATTACAAAACCTAGCCTATCTGGTAGTAATCCCGATAACGAGTACAGGTTGAGCGTCAACCTTAAAAACTGCATCCTCTAAAAATAATCGATACCACTTCACCACTACTGAAAATTCATATCTCAAACTTCAAGCCCTACAGTCCACTCGGAACTTATAGGAATGTGTTAACGAGTAATAATTAATAACAAAGGTGGATTCAATTATGTGTGAGACTGAGCGAGGGGAGTGGGAAGATAGGAATATGCTGCGCTGACCGATAAGAAGACTTTACCAGATATGCATTTCGCACAGGATTTATGCCAGATGTCATACAAACTCAAAGATTTGCTGGCGAAAACCAAAAAAAAGAACTGGCTGAAGAAACTGGCAGTGAAGACAGCACAGATTTCAGGTAAACATTAAGAAAAACAGGGTGATGAAAATAACCAACCGGCAACAACAACAACAACAACCAGCACCAATTATCATCAACGGAAGAGATTTAACAGAGGTTGTTGTCTTCTTCACTTATCTGGGAAGCATCATTTCAACTACAGGTGGAACGGATAAAGATATCAAAACCATCCAGAATCAGAGAGGCAAGATACACCTTCATCAATCTGAAACCAGTTTGGAAATCTTTTGCACTCATTCAAAAGGTCGACTGGCCGGCCAATAAGAGAGAGAATTAGTAACAAGAAACTCAGGCCGCAGACGAACCAACCAAGAGGCGACTACTCAACAAATATGTGGAAGAAAGTGGAGATGGATAGAATGGGAACACGCCACTGAGGAGGCCGTCAGATGATATCGCGTGCAGTGTAGGTCATCGCCTAACTGGAGTCCCAATGGGAATAGACGAGTGGGTCGTCGGTGTGAGGATGATAAGGAGGTGATCGTGTGGCGGGGAGGGGAAGGAGGAGGAGGTGAGAGATTATGAGCGTTCCTAAGGTCATCCAGATGAAGAGAACAGCAGAAAATAGAAGAAAGTGGGGATCTTTTGTTGAAGCCGTATGTTCCACTCAGAACCTAAGGAAATAATAATAATAATGTACTAAATTCTGCAGTCAGAAACGTAGAAACTGAGCTATTCGTGTTCATAGCTGACATTCCTGTCAATGGCTGGTCACAAAAGAGTAATCACCGACATGTGTCTATTCCTTGGTATTGAGAGCAAGTCACCTAGCATAGTGGCAACATTGCAAACTTGAGTGATAGAATTCACTCTCCAACAACATTAGGTACGACGGATTAAAATCTTAAAGGAGGCGTTAGTTCTCTCAAGGATGTAATTATGCCTTAAAATGATGATTCCAGCAAGCATGAAACCTTGGTCAAGCAGGGCTTTCCGTCCGACTGCCTTCAACCATTTGAAAAAATGCCTGAATTAGTGAGTGAACTGTAATACTGCATCAGTGTCATTATGAAATATTCACCTGAATTTGAATAAGGCAAGAACATCAGTATGTGCACAATAAAATGGTATCATCGATTATTTTGTCGGATCGTCATCAGCTGCGTTCAGCTGACAGGTGGCTCCAAGTTTAACAAACAGTTCTCAGAAAATTATACTTATATAGTTTCTACATCTAGAGTTCAAGGGCGTAGTTAAACTTTAAGCACCACTGACTACCATCAGTCAGAAAATGACCTCGAACCCACCAATCAATGTGAAGGAGGCATTTTTGTGTATGCAATACATTAATTTATAAAAAAAAATTGAATAATAACTGTATAATAAAAGTGTTACAGAGGATAGCTTCCTCACACATGTGATAAAAATATCTCTCAGTCTTAGGTTGGAGTATCAACAGAGCATCTCAAACAAACTTCAGACCTTCATTAACAGCTGTCTTCGCTCATTACTCAAGATCAGATGGCCAGAAAAGATCGGGAACAGGGATCTCTGGGAACGAACGAACCAACCAGGAACCGATTGTGAAACAAATATGCAGGAAGAAATGGAGATGGATTGGCTAGCCATACTCTGAGGAAACCATCAAGTGACATTACTAGACAAGCCATTGCTCGAGTGGAACCCGAAAGGGAAGCGGCGAGTTGGTCGTCAGTGCAAGGGTGACTTGGAGGAGGTCATGCGAGGAGGAGATGAAAGCATGTGGGCAGACTTGGAGCGGGGTGAAAAAGTTGGCAGAAGACAGAAGGCAATGGAGGTGCGCAGCTGAAGCCCTATGTTCCTCTAGGAACTAAAGGATACAATAATAATAATAATAATCAACAGTCTGTAGTTCCATTGTGGGTTAAATTTATTTTGATAAAGTCTCACACAGTGTTACACAGTAATATTAACTGAGCGATAAATTGTGCTCGAAACGTCGTCATCAGTAGATATAAATGCATAACAGTATGAGACTTCATCAAAATGAATTTTACTCACAATGGAATTATACTCTACCTCCACATTGCACAAGTTCTATTCTTATATTAACAGAGTAATTTAACCACATTCTATGCATGTAATTAATTATTTAGGTTTTCTAACCCTAACAATAACTCTGATCTTTCCTGCACCTAACTCCAACGTGAAAATATCCCTAAACTATCTTTAATCTAACTCTCACTAACACCCTAATGTCTTCCTTATTAGGTTAACCTAACCCTAACATGTTCTTAGCTTAAAGCGTAACTGAATTTTTCCAAAGCCTAACGGGAAACTCGCAAGATATACCATTTAATAGATAACATAACACTTCGATGAGCATATTTTATTGATGATGACAACAATATTTATTTAACAGGTTTCACTAACTTGCTTAGTAAGCATTTCAAGGTCATTGGTGTGGTCGCACTCCATTGGTAGTTAGTCAGTGGTGCTTAAAGTTTAACTTGACCGGTTCAAGTTTAAACAAAAAAATCAGTGTATCCAAATAATGGTAAGGGAGTTAGTTACGTAATGAAGACAAGATGTGAGTAAGATGCTGATTAACAATGTGCTGAGTTCAACTCGAATCACAGTAGAAACAAGACAGAAGCAAAAGCGCACTATATCAAAGGTATGTATGAGGTTAAAGCCAAAGCTTATGTAATCATAGGAAAGAGAGAATAAAGACATCCAGTTACCAGTCAGGGCCAGGAAACTCTGATGATAACTGCTTCTTTCTGAACACACATAAATCGGGGTTTTCAGGCGTTTGATGACGATTACTGCTTCAGCGAACTTGAGAAGAACTGAGCTGTTTTATCTGCTGATAATTTTGAAGGAATTCGCAGCTTCCAGCTCATGAGCTCTACCAAAGGAGATGCCTAACAATGGCAACATTTAAAATGTTTGTTGCCTCGTGTTATAGTGAATTTATTATTCAAGTTGAGGTCAGTAATACTGTAGTGTGTCTATCATAGAAAATGAAATGGGAAAGTTAGGTTGGTTGACATCAAATTCCCATGATGACAAATGTCAAGTGTATGGAAGATTGTTTTGATAGTGCAAAGATGAGGACTACAGCGTTTTTTCCAATTACTTTCTGCTACATTCTATCAATTAAAAATAACAGTAGAGATATCTGAATGCCGTAAAGAATTAAATTATCTTCAGATACGACAAATATCAACAAATGCCATACAAACACAGTGTACAAACACGTTCACACCAATTTTAAATTGAGTCTCCATGGGAACAACATCACTCATTGAGGATGCACGTACATGCATTAGACGAAACCGAAATAGGACGAAATGCTACAGACAATAGACTACAGTGCTAATGACAGGATACAAAATGAAGTAGCCCGGAGTTCACCTAAGAAGTCGTAACCAGTAGGGTCATGCAAATCAACTGTGAGGATGAATATTCGCTGGTGCTACATATATCGCAAATTGTTGGAAGTCAGGATTCCTATTCCACTGGATACCATCAAGAGGGCTTAATGGTCGACCGGGTGACCCCGTAACCTGAAGGTTTTAGGTTCGATCCCAAATAGGTGGCAGATGAATTCCCTTGAAGTGTCCTAAACTAGGACGAATAAGATATTCAATACTCTGTGGTTTCTAGTACTTCCTTAACTGATGTCAGCCCGAGAGCTAACTTGAAGCCATCCGAATCCTTATAACGCAGTACTTTAAAACTATAAAGTTACTTTTAAGTTGTGACTAATCAGAAAATTAGAATGACAAGTCCTCGTTCAACGTCTAAATTGTCAGGAAAATAGGTAATACCTGAGCGTTTAAAGTGCATATAGTGAACCTTTACAAACTTAAAAATAACTGAGTGTTTTACTGACATATGTGGTATGATTTCTTCTTGAAGTATCTGAAACAGGAGGAGTTTTAATGTGGCCTGACTGTAGAGACAACTGGACAACTGCTTAAGGCCGGTCCCATAATGCCTGTTTTTTACAGTTATATATGTATTATGATATTACCACCAACTGTGGACCACCTTTTCTTACTGTTCTTTTCTAGAGAAGAAAGGCGGCATAACTGGCTTGCTGATCATCTGAGGGATACACCCTATCGCTACTGTTACATCCTTATTCCCTGATAGTACAACTTTGCCCATAGACCTGAAACATACTATACGAAAATTACACTCTAACAGTGACTGATTTTAGTTCAAACAGTATTCGAAGGACCTTTGTGGTATGGTAGGACCTACAGGAACCACAGTTCCAACCACTGTAGATCCTCTTGTTACTGCGATTTGCAAGCTCAATCACAACGTTAAGGTATTAGCTATCAGTTTTGTTTCAGAGCATACCAAAGCGTCATTCCACTTTTAAAACCAGCAAAACCTGTTGAACTCATGAAATAAATTCATCACTAATTCGTTCAACCTTAGTTTTTTTGCTATAGTTCGCTCCTTTAAACTCCAAAAAAATATTTTGAAATTATTCTTAAGTCTATTCATAGTAATTCTCTCTCTCTCTCTTTTTCTGTCTTTCTGTAAAGGCTTTACCACCCACTTATAAACACCCAACAGTTTTAAAGCGTTTAAACGCGGAACCTGATTTATCAGCATTTGTTCAAAGTCTGCCCAGTGATTTGAAAAGGAAACTAGATGAACCAGATTCAGATGAATGGTACACAGTGTTTGCAGTACCAAATAATGTTTGGAATCAAATGACATCGGGGATTAGTTCATCGGAAGTAAGTCATATTGTAACAATAGAAGACAAGGGTCAGGCAACAGATAGTTTATTGAGAAAATTAACAGATATTTATAGATTTTTATTCACATTATTATTAGCAGAGAAACAGCATCTTCTGATTGGCTATTTTTTCACTGAAAGTTAATCTTTCATCTCTTTGTGCCCCTTCTTTGAAGGTCATAACATATATCTGCGAATCGTGTCCGCCCACGCACAGTCCGTTGTGATTGGTTGTTGAGTTAATCATCGTTCTTATTTTTTTCTCATGACCGAGATTTGGGACGTAAACACTGGTGTAAATTGCTGTTTACCAATTTTGGCCAACAGACAGTTCTCACCATAATACTACCTAATGTTTCATTAGTCGAAATGCGATAAATAACTCTAAATACCGCGTTAACATCAACTTTATCCTTACTGTCTACAAGATGAAATGAAAACAGCTGAGAACAGACCTTGTTTCTCCTTTGCTTAATCACCGTGCAAGATGATGTTCATAGATCCTACAATGAACCGGCCCAATTGTACACCCAAAGTAACTAGCCCTGTAGGAACAGCTAAATTGGTAGACGTACACAAAGGAGGCAAAATTCCGCAGTTTATCCTTCTTTCTCGAACATAAAATAGGGATGGTAGTGAAGAGACAACGTACCTCTGCTGCATTGAAAGCTCTTTTATCTTCATTTTTCAAGCTCTGTGTTGTCATTTTGTTGGTGTAATTGTCGAGGAACTGAAGTTTTATGAACAATTGTTGTTTTGAAGCTGTTGCCATACTGACTTTCCATGGTGTTAAATTCATATTTTTCTCAATGAATTTATCTGGAAAACCACTTTTACCAATTAGTGCTCTGATAATCTTGAGCTCATCATTGAGACAGTGTTTTGAGCAGATTATCGTAGCTGTATGAACCAAATACTTTACCAAGTTGCGTTTATATTTCAGAGTAGCAAAATTTAGCGATTGGATGTATTGACCTTTCGTTGTAGGTTTCTTATATTCACTCCTTCTTAATGTACCATCCTCTTACCTGGTCACGAAGACGTCTAGGTATGGAATACTTTAATTTTCTTTCTTTCTTAGTGGTAAAGTTTATTGCCAAATGAGCATTTTTGAACTTATTGAGAATCTTCGTTGCTTCATTCTAGTTCTTCATAATCGTAAATGCGTCATCCATATATCTATAGTAGGGTTCCAATCCATTAATTACTCCTTTCAGTGATCCATTCTGTAACTCAGAGCGGAAAATATCAGTTAGGTTTGGACGCCATGGTGAATCTACAGCCACATCATTAGTTTGTTTGTAGTATTCCTTGTCGAACAAGAAATGAACATCTGTAGTACATCTTAAAATAAGTTCCTCCATAGCGGATTCAGAAATACCAATGTCTATGTTTAATCTAATAATTTCATCACCTATAAAATCCGCTGCTTGCATCAACGAACAAAGAGGATACATCAAAAGACATCATGAACTTGTCATTCACATTCAAATTTCTTATTCTTTTGACAAATTCAAAACTATCTTTTACGTCGCCAACTCCTATATGGAGAGGCTGTAAGAGCTTCACCAACCGTTTGACTGTTACGTGATTCGGAGAATTAGACATGTCTAACACCGACTGAAGTATCTTCGAAAAATTATCCTGCATTATTAAGCAAGGAACAAACAACACCTATTAGTAGTTCTGTTTAAGCACACCTTGTAGATAATGAGCATAAAGTCGGTGTTGATACAGGATTTAAAGTTATTTATTACAGTTCAGCTAATCTTAATTTTGCTTTACGAGTTCATGTTCTACAAACCTAGAGCTGAAGCCCTCAGAATTCAACTGAAGAAGCCAAACTTGTGTGTTCATAAAAAATTCTTACAGCCACTTTCTTTACCTTGACTATCGTTACATATATGTTTTACTGTTTATCACTGAAGGGATTCCTTTAGACTTTCATACTGTTTTCTTAGGAATATGACATATTAGAGAACATATATAGACTAGAGCATGCACATAACACTTACAATGGATCATGAACTTGACAATCAGTTCTACTTCCTAGAACTCAATATAAAAAGCAGAAATGATGAGACAGCTGGGAACTCCATCTACACTAAAGAAATTTGCACTGGCCAATACCTGAATTATAGCAGTTTCTGACCAAGTGACTACGAACTGAGCTTGGTGTAAAAACGCTTTTCATCAGAGCTATAGAGTTATTTTCGCAAAATAAGACTGAAGAGGAACTCACAGTGGTTGAGACGAAACTAATCGGCAATGGATAAAGTCGAAAGTTTTGAATCAAAATATGGAAGTGAGAAAAAAACACCTAGACCGAAACCCGAAATAATTGAAAAGAAACCAGTTTTTATCTATCTAAAGTACAAAGGAGAGGTATGCATGAAAATATAAAACAGAATTAAATTGTGAATTGAAAAGAACATTTCCTGATGTCAAACTCATTCCACTTTACAACTGTCTGTCTGTCTGTCTGTTTTCGACATAGAACTTTGCACAAATGTGCGGAAGTTCAAGTCGCCACATTCCGTGTAGCACGCGAAGCAAGAGAAGAAAGTACAAGAAAAGCATAATAGAAACAGTGAGCAGAGGTGTGAGACAAAGGAGTAATAAAGAAATACAAAACAGTTTCATTGAAGATCATAAGTCACAGGGAGTGGATGCATCTGAGCCACTGAGAACGGTTTTGAGCCATGTCACCAATTGTTTCCAACCATAGACTTTTACCGTCCCGAGGACCCCAGCCTGGAAGTCTACACCTTTCTACGTGGCTTAGACCAACTGTTGTGGATTTCATTGACTGGTGAGGCCAAGTTTTTGTTTGACCGCCGCTAGCTTTTTTCCAGCCTGACCCTATATCCGCTAACATTGCTCATTGTCGAGGGAGGCGATGGCTTGGCATACGTAACACATGTCCTAACCATCTCAGTCTTTGTAGCTTCATGACTTCGTCGATTGATTTCCCCTGTTTACCTAGAACTCTACACCACTTTACAACACAGTATGCTAGTTAACTCCGTCAAAGGCAGATAAGTATCCTCCTTCGCAAGTCAACCTTAACTATCTTCACTAATTCACCTGCACTTTCGTCAGCAAGTACATAGAAAGGAATAAGAGAAGAGCGTCTACTAGATTTTTTCAGCATAACCCTAAAAGTTTTGTAGATAAAAAAGTATTTGGACTCAAAACTGCCCCTCTCTTTGTGAATGTAGTTGTTACTTTAAATAGAATCGATTCCTGACTTCTAAACGGCTTTTCCTACTGGGGATCGTCTTTGGTTGAATTTCTTTTTCTTTAAATCGATTGTTTTTTAGGCTAAAGAGACTTTAACCCGTCAACATGTTATGGAGAAAATGCTTTGCTCTGATGCTATTGTTCAGAATACTAAACGTATTGGTCCAACATTCGCAGACACACATTTTAGTATTCAACGTAAATCTGATGGGAATTTAGTTATCAATGATGTATGCAATAAACAGATAGCTATTCAACGTAAAGATGTTATGTCGGGAACTGGTGTAATACATGTGATTGAAAGTCCAATAAGCAGTTTAGAATGTAAGTTATATTGTTGGGGCGATTTTTCTTTTTCGTTTTGAGATTTTTATTATTATTATCATTATTTCCTTTAATTCCTAGAGGAACATAGGACTTCAGCCGCACGTCTCCATTGCGTTCGGTTCTCTGATAACGTTTTCATCTGGCTTCAAGTCTGCCAACATGCTTTTATCTCCTCTTCACATGACCTCCTCCAAGTCACCCTTGCACTGACGACCAACTCGCCGCTTCCCTTTCGGATTCCACTCGAAGGTCTGTCTTATGACGTCACTTGATGGTTTCCTCAGAGTATGACCGCTCAATCCAATTCCATTTCTTCCTGCATATTTGCTGCGTAACTATTTCCTGCTGGGTTGGTTCGCTCCAAGGAATCCCTCACTGTTTCTGATATTTTCTGTCCGGTCACCTGATCTTGAGTAGTACTGAGCGAAGACACAGCTGTTGATGAAGGTCTGTAGTTTGTTTGAGATGCTCTCCATGACGCGTCAAGTCTTCTTCTTGTTATTATTCTTATTATTATTCTCTCCGACTACGAGTGGAGCATAGAACTTCAGCGGCACATAACAGAGTGAAAACTCTGTTTTCTGTTACCCTTTTAAGCTAGCTCCACGACTTCATACAAACTTTCATCGTCTTTCTCCTCCTCTATGTCACCTTCGAACCCAGAACAATCTCATCGCTCCCCGTTGGAATTCCCCTCTAGTGGGCCTGCCCAGGTCTTTTCACTGTGTGCCCAATCCATCTTTCTTTCATTCTGCATTTTTTATTGTTTGGCAAGCAGGTTCTTGGTTGGATCGTTACCCGAGTTCCTTGTTGTTAATCCTTTTCGGCCTGCCGGCCATCTATCTGATCTTCACTATTGAGCCATCAGTAGCAGTTGTAGATGAAAGTTTGCAGTAGCCTGTTCAAAATGCTTTTGGTGTCGTGAGAGCCAAGCCACTGAACTAAATAGATGCACTAACTTCAAACTGGTGTTAAACACTCAGACTTTGCTTCTTGTACTGAGTGCTATAGATCTTCTCACTGCGTTTATAGTGTGCACGTCGGTGGCACTGTGGTTAGATAGCGCGCCAACCATACACATGGTCCGGGGTTCGATCCCCGCCCGACCCACACTTGATGTCAATGGTTGGCCTGCTAAAATTTGAGCTACCAGTATCACACACTGAAAATGCCATACTTGTATCAAAGCAAATACTGCGTGGAATCAAGCTATAATAAAAAAAATGTCTTCCTTGCTTTCATGATTCCCGATGCCTCTGATATCTTCAACCGTGTCACCTGCAATTCAAACACTGCCACCTCATCATCAAGTAAGTGAGTGATAACCACTGGTTGACAATGACCGGGTCATTGATGTTGTTGGTCAGGGTATCTTCACCACCTCTATCTTGTCTATGTTCACTTGAAGTTAAGTATTCGGTGCTGCTCCTAACAAGTTGTTGGTTTTCGCCTACTGGTCTTCGAGTTTGTGTGATATCGTACATAAATCATTCACAAAGTTCAGGACCTCAGGGGTCTTCTTTTCAGTCTAACGTAAACCTCCATTTGCACTTCACACTGTCTACCGCATGATGTTATTCGCCTCGATGAGAAAAATCATCAGTGGTAATAGGGAATCTTATCCTTCTCCTACCTTCACTTCAAAAGTTTCGCTTTTTGTTTATACCCATTATTTTTGGGTACTACTATTAACGCCGAATAGTTTACAATATGAGCTAGATTCCTCCGTGAAGAAACAACTTCAAGAAGCGATTTAGTTAACACTTGAATGTCACACATTTCTTCTGCTCTTACATTCCCCTTTTTTGATGACACGTAGAACATATCATATTTGATAAGGGCTATTTTTGAACTTCGAATCAACGAAACGTGTTTAAAACTCGGTTTTTCTAAACTTCCCACTCTTCTTTTCCATTTATCGTGATGTTCTAAGAATATTTTGGTTGTCCGGAACAAGTGTTGAATCTTTTGCTATACCGTAAATTCTTTGAGTAGAGAGAGAGAGAGAAATCGATAATCGTAGGTTTGATGATCAAACCAACTGAGAATACATAGAGTAGGTGTGTAAAAACAGAAGACAAGGGCCAGGCAACAGATCGTTTATTAAGGAAATCAACACATATTTATAGATTTTCATGTACATTATTATAAATTATTGTTAGCAGAAAAACACAGTCTTCTGATTGGTTGTTTCTCGCAGAAAGTTAACCTTGCATCTCTTTGTGACTGTTTCTTGAACGTCAGATTATCTATCTGCTAATTGTGTCCACCTACGGAAAGCCTTTGTTCTCATTTTTCTCACGGCCAATATTTGGTACACAAACACTGACGTAAATTACTGTCCACCAATTTTGACTAACAGGCAGCTCTCATCACAGGTATGATTTAACACCTGTTCTGGATATCTAAAAATATTCTAAAACTACCCTTCTGCGTATTTGTAGAGAAAAATTATAATAATAAACATTTTTCTATCGTTGGTTTGTAAGGATTATTTTTTTATACGAGTTGATCACGGATTGATATCAGTTAGAGAACCATTGAAAACCAGCAGTGAAGTATTGGAGAGCTTTTTCTTCCATCCTAGTTTGGGAATCATCGGCAGTACACACCCACCCCACAGGGCTTTTGAACCCAGGACCTTCCGGTTAAAAGCAGGCAAGGTCGTATACTAGTGAGGTCCATTGAGTCACGTGTGACAATGGATGTCCTACTGATGACATTGGTTGGGGTTGCATTAAATCACGAGTTAGTAGTAGTTAGAATTCATGGGCTGACCATTGAATCGGGTCCTAGTTCCTTGTAACCGCAAGATCCTGGGTTCGGACCCCCTTCATGGGGTGTGGGCAGTGCCGATGATTCCCAAACTAGGATGGAGGAAACAGCTGTCCAATACTTTAGTGCTGGTTTTCAATGGTTCTCTAATTGATATCAATCCGTGATCAACTCGTACAAATAATCACTTTACTCCGAACAATAATAAAAATGATAAAGAATGGAATTTCTGGCGTTTTTATACATATCGCAACAATTTAATTCCTTTTATAAAAGTGTATATACATAAAATTTAAAACAGTAATCATAATATTAATAATGAGTCCACTATAAACAGAATGTTGATGGAAACATGATGAATTGTAAATAGATAGATATCATAGATAATACATGCAATAATAATAATAATCTTTGCTTATATTTTGCAATTCAGATTACTAATTTAAGAAGCTTTTAAGTTTCTTTCTGACATCTGACTGTCTCCCTTCACATAAAACCAATGCTAAATATATTGGTTCGGTAAATGTTCTATATTTAGTAGCTGTGTGGTGAGAGCAGGCCGTGAGAAAATATGAGCAAGGCTGATTCAACAACCAATCACAGCAAAGTTAACGTGGCAAAATATGATTCGCAGATAGAGAACTCTATTTGTCGAGGAATCCCGAAACAACCAATCAGAAGCCTGCGTTTGTCTACTTGCATAAGCTTTAATAATGTATGTGAAATATGTATAAATACGTGTTGATTTTCATAATAAAACGATCTGTTGCCTGGCCCTTGTCTTCTGTTGTTACAGCTGTACGAGAGTAAATTCTTATTAAATTTCTTCTGGTTTCACTGCCGAAGAGAAATACACGGAAAAAGGTACGAATAACTTGAGAGGATGTTCAGCATCAGATAAGATAACTTTAGCCAAGTGCTTGCAAGAAGTGAATTGAAGTGACTATTGACAACAATAATGTCAGTTAGTTGAGTCATAGGCACACAAACACACACACACCCCACTGACCCTACTTACAGTCTTCAGTGTTCTACGTAATATGATGTAGTCTTTTTTGGGAAGTCTACGGAAGAATAAGATGGGCGAACAACAATGAAGAGAAATTGGCAGAATTCATAAATTAATAAACTGTTAGAGAAGAAGTGAGGTTGAGTTATGCCAGCAGAAAGTTTCAACTTCTTAATGGAATAATTCGAACGAAAAATATCCGTAGAAATCAACAGTGTATAAGATGATCAACAGAGATTTGAAGAGAAACTGATGCTACACTGTGATTAGAGACAATCAATTTACTCTCTATCATCGCATTACCGTCAAATAGGACTATAAACACTAACTGGAGGTTTTCTTAAATCCCAGGATCACCTAAATTTCCATTTAACACATGACATCAAATTTTCTTCTTTTATCATATCGTTTTAATCACTCAGTTGTACTCTTGGGTTGCAATCTACTAATGTATATTTCTTGAAGGACACGAAGGTAATGGTTTGTGCTTAAGATTGAACGGTATTGTGTCAAACAATGTGCTGTCGACTACTACTTTACATAGAGATCGTTGGCAGACAGTAAATATTACGCAATAAAATAGGCTGAAAAATATGTACAATTAAATAATGTAAAAGATTTGTAGTTCAGATGGTCTGGTTGTACTCACTCAGCTGAATTCTTTATATGAGAAAGTTACATTCTCAATCTAGACAGTGTTAGCCTCAAAATCAAAACGGTGTCTGGAGAGCCAGTAAAAGAACTTTGGAATTCAGTAACACAGCTCAGGAAATATAACAATATCAAAACTCTTGAAAATTAATCTAATGCTCGCTGGTGACTTGCTATAGGACAGACTATCCTGGAGTTCTATTGAGAAGTCCTGACCAGTGAGGTCCATCCATTCAGAAGTGAGGATGGAGTCCCCCATCGATGACGTTGTTTGGTGGTCGGGCTACAATCACGAATTGGTAGAAGTTAGAATTCATGGGCTGGTCATTGAATCGAGCCCCAGTGGCTGAATGATATACGAGCTTACCTTGTAACGTGGGTTCGAACCCTGGCAGTAGGTGCGTAATGCCGATGATTCCCAAACTAGGCTGATGAAACAGCAGCTGTCCAGTACTCCATGCTGGTTTTTAATGCTTCTCTTAAGGAAATCAATCCATGATCCTTACAAACCAAACTCTTGAAACCTATCTTGTAAAGACGCCCATTTTGTCTAGTTTTCAAGTCATCGGACAAAGTACACTTTCTCACTTTTTGTACATGATATCCCAAAGAACTCTGGCAACAAGCGGTCTAAGAACCTGTCGCTGAAAAAATATGCACATGGAAACGCAGACAGACTGAACACACACTGAGGAGACTGTTCACTGAGACCATGCTCCAGAAAGTCCACCGAGTGGAACTCGAATAGAAAACGACAAGTTGGGTGTAAGTCTCGGTGTGACATGGAGGAGATCGCATAGGCAGACCAACTTATATGCAAGCCAGCTAAAAAGGACTACAAAAAATCGATTAAAATGACAATGTGCTCTTGAGGTTCTGTATTCCACTCGGAAACCAATATAAAATTATACTATTACTTCCTTTACACTTTTATATACATAAAATGTTTGATTTTTGTTTAAATTCTGTTTTTTTTCTAATTCAGCAATGAATTTAAATGAAGCGCTTGAATGTTTGAAAAATAATCCATCAATGAGAGTGAGACAGTCAGCAGGTGAAATACAAAAGTGTAATCTATTAGATCTTGCCTCAGGACGTGATAATGTTATCCTTCTGCCAAATGATGGAGCTTTCCAGTGTAAGTGAATGTAAAAAGTATTTGTTGTGTTTGGTGTTAGACGGTTGAAGGGGATCGGTAGCACTTCTTACCCAACCTATGTCTCATGCCTGTAGGCACTCATTGGTAAGGCGTATTTGCAACCTTAAAGGAAGTCATATTTCCATTTGAAGAACTCAACTCGTATGGTGTAGTCCAAGCACCATAGACACCATGGGGAGAGGGAGTATGAGCGATTGAAATGAAGATAAATTGCATTACGCTTCAATTACTTCACTTAGATAAACAATTAGTCATTAGGGAATATATCAAGAATTGCAAACAGACTAATATCAATAGTAATAGTTATAATAACAATAATAATAATAGTGTTGAAGTGAGTTTAGATAATCCTACTGAAAAGGGATAGTTTTAAATGAACCAATAATAATAATAAGAGGTGGAATAATAAGTAAAACGTATTACCATGGTAGATTCAGAGTGACAACCATCTCCTTTTGTACACAGAGATCTGGTTTATAAACTCGAATTGCACGAGCCTCCTCCCAAATTCCAAGCATCTTCTTGTTTCTGCGTCTGCTGACAATGGTGAATGACTTGATAGCGCGTCAATATCATGTCCATAGTCCACAAGATATTTTGTTATTGAGGATTTTTGGCACTTTGCACTCAGCTGTTTTCAACCATTTTGGCAAATGTTCCATCATGCTAGTAGACAATCACCTTTCTGTACGACCTATGCGTATTTGCGCCCTCTCACAAACACATTCAAGTTGATATACGCAGTTTGAAGTATCCGTGATTGTCGACTGGTCTTTCCCAGAATGTTGAAGTACTCACTTGATGGTGTTAAGGATGACAAGCTTTCCAGTCTAATAAGTTCTCTTGATGGCTTTGTCGAGTCTTCGTTTCACTACTTCTTGTACATCATCTCCTTTGAACGGCAAACTGATATAGACAGATTTCTTTGGAACGGTTTGGACAGTTTTGCAGGGGGTAATCTACCATGGTAATACGTTTTAATTTTTAGATTCTACCTCTTATTATAATTATTATTATTATTCTTGATTCATTTAAAACTCTTCTTTGTCAGTAGGATTATCTTAACTCACTTCAACACTATTATTATTGTTATTATTATAACTATTACTATTGATATTAGTCTGTTTGCAATTCTTGATATATTCTCTGATGACTAATTGTTTATCTAAGTGAGGTAATTGAAGCGTAATGCAATTTATCTTAATTTTGATCTCTCATACTCTCTCTCCCCTTATCTATCTGAACATGACCTGGAAAACATTCCCACCTGTCTTTCTGCATGACTAATTCAATGTAGTTTATTTGTGCTTATCAGTCTTATATCTCTCAATGTAATTTCAAAAGTATATATATCCGTGTACGTAGAGTACTGAGTAGCTGACGAGTTCTACCAAAATTTGATGATGAATCCATCATTAAATCCTGTTTTATTACCCTTTATTTCTTGTTTTAAATTCGTATCGCGAAATAAATGTTTTCATTTTCTGTTAATGTCTGATTGATTTATTGATTAAACTTTGTGACAAATTCACTCACACACACACACATATTTGTGTTTTACCATTTGATTAACTAGCTCAACTTTACAAAGATAATTCGAAACAGATAAAAGTGGATAAATGCAAAATGTATGCTCATCATTTATTGAAGCCTAAAGATCCACGGAATGTAGATGTTCGCAAGACAGGTTTAAATCAAGAACAAGAATTCTCATCACAATACACGGGATCAGATGGCTCTAAACATTCTGTCTTTAGTAGATATATCAGAACGAGACAAGGAACAACGGTAAGCGATATACATATGTGTATATGCTTGGTCCCTTTGGTAAATTTTGATCACATTTGCAGCATAAAATGACTTCATCTGATTTAGCAGAATCTCATCAGCTGAAGACTGTTTGTAATTACAAGAATTAAAACGGTATACTTCGATGCTTCAATATAACAGCATAGAAAATCTTGTAAATTATAACATATCCAAAGTATAAGCATTACTAATTTAAAAGTCAATCTGAACGAAGAATATTCTTTTCAATAATTTCGCCTCTTCAGGTTCTTACAATTATAAAATATGCAATATTTGTGGTCGTTACAATAATAGCCGGTAGGTGATCCGGCGGATACATTTTTAACGTAGAATAACAGATTGGCAGTTATGGGGTGGCAAACGTGCTAGGCTGAAATCGATTACAAAATATTGTAAAATCGGTGGTAATGGTGTTGATTAGTCGTCATAATAGATTTGTAGAGTGTGGGGTTATAAAATGTGTCAGGTGAGTGGCTAGTACAAAGTGGTATGTATTAAAGAGGAGGGGGTAGTAAGACTGCAATGAGAGGTGGTTCATAATGAGATAACGAATATGTGAAATGAAACAGGTGGAGGCATATTTATTGAGAAAAGAGATAATATCATCACTAATAATAACTCCGGATAGTATAAATGGAAAATTCGATAGCACTGAGAGAATGAAGGGCATAAATCATGACGAATAATAATAATAATTGTAATAATAAGCAAAGAAAGAAAAAGCCAACAGGGTTATGGGAAAGAAGCACTCTTGGTGAGAAGTAGAATCATCATTCCAAGTTTGGCCATGGTAGGAACAGTATCTGGACGTGTTGGTTTTGGATACAAAATTCTGGTTTATCCGATCTTATTGCAACAGTTTCAGCTATGTGTAGCAGATGTAAGCGAACTGTACGTGATAACGACTAGAGAATATAGTACACAACCCTGAAAGCTGTGTTTAATTCGATGCTATGTCCAGTATGGACCAAGTGTGACAGGATCGAGCTTATTACGCATATAATTTTCCCCCTGCTGAACCAAGTTAGTAAGTGTTCTCGAACCCGTAGACGAACCTTCCTAATCGTGAGCCCTATATAACTTGAATCACAGGAACATTCTACGAGTCCACTATGACTAATCAACACCATTGTCTCCCATTTCACCGAAATATTTTGTAATCGATTTCAGCCTAGCACGAAGTTTGTCACACAAATAAGACTATTTATTTTGATACCCCGTAACTAACTAATCTGTTATTCAACATTTTAGAAAAATGTATCCGCCGCATCAGTAACTGGCCATCACTATTCTAACGACAACAAATATTACATATTTTATAATTGTTTGAACCTGAAGAGGAGAAACTATTGAAAGGAATATATTCGAATAAGGCATTTAGAAGACAAAATTCGCCTCGAGATGATATCGTCATTTCGTAGTTTCTTTGCAACCGCTTTACAACTAACATGGTTAACAATAATAAAATAAAGTTAATGAAAATTACTCAGTTAAATAAAAAAAACTAAAGTACATACTAATGACCAATCATATTTAGATAGGTCATGTAGTCCATGGTAGGCGAAGACTGAAGTCTACCTTTTTTTGTAAACACAGTTTAGGCTGTATGTGATTAATCCAAAGTGCTTCCATCACCTTTAATAACCAACCTTGAATTAGAGTTGTGTGATGAAATAATTGTGAAACAGTCATTAATATCGATTTTGTGACCAGACATTAATAAGTGTTTTGCAATGGGTGATGCTGGATTTCTATTCAGATTACTCGCATTGGGATTTTCTATATGTTTTAGTAGCCATTTTGGAACATGTTCCTTTTGACGACATTGGAACATTCTGTTGAATCTACCTATACAGGTGTCACTGCAGCTGTAGGTGAACTTGTAGATACAGTTTGAAGTAGAGTCCACAGAATTTCGTCCTTTAATCGTGGGTACAGAGATCGAAAATGTTCGGCATGTGAGAAAAAGAGATTCGGCGTAGAATGTGCATCTGATGGCTGACTGAAGTCTTTGAGCTGTCAGCTGCATAATCTGGTCACCCTTGAGTAGTAGGTTAATAAAGATAGCTTTCTTTAGTACAGAAGCTGTCTTTTCTAGATGTGGTCTATCCTTACTGTGACAATTGATAAAGTAAGTTTTCTGGATAACCATTAGCTAGTAAAACTGAATGTATATGTCGAAGCTCATCCATCAATGTGTCACTCGTGCATATATTTCGGGCCCTTGAAAACAAACATTTAACTAGGGAACGTTTATACTGGATAGGAACAAAACTGATGAATTGAAGATATTGCCCATTCCATATCTGTTTACGAAAATTTACTTCGTTCAGATTGACTTTGTAATTAATGATATGGAAATATTTCACAATATCACTGTTATATTTTTAGTTTAAGCTACCGCCAATTTATACACAATACTCAGTAGAAAACAAAGATGAGTAAGGGGGAAGAGAAGACAGATAACAGAACATAATAGCTAAATCAGCTGAATTCACTAATATAGATGATTTATGCAATCAATGTAATTACATTTTGATTTTGAAATTAGGAACATGTATGTCAGTAAAGGCAGTCTCATCCTATAACTCGTCATGAAAGTCGCAAACTCCATATTTTCGAAACTAATGTGAAGTCGGTGAATTCACACGCGAGTAATCAAAAGCATCTCCATCCTACTACTTCAAATTTTCATTACCAGCCCCTTTCTCACCATAATGAAGAACAAGTAGCCAGCTAGGAGGGATAAGCAACAAGAATATCTGGCAGCCAATGAACCAACCAAGAACTTATTATTCAACAAATATGTGGAAGAGGAAATCGATATTGACTAGACAAAGGTACATGTCAGGGGATCCACAACGGAAAACTCACTCAGCGAGGCGTTTGGAGTAAACACACGAGTTAGACAAAGGTGCTTATTATCACCAATGAATGATATTCCTAATTGTGGTGGACTGGATTATGCGTCAGACAGTGAGTGGGAAACGAGAAGACAGGGATATACTGGACCGACCGACTTGAAGAACCTAGAAGACCTGGATTTCACGCGTGGATGATTTATGTTTGATGTTACACAAAATCGAAGACTTACAAGCAAAAACCGACCGAAAAACTGGTCGAAGAAGCAGCAAGCGGCGAAGACAGGACTCCATGTGAACATAGACAAGACGGAGGTGATGAAAATAACCAGCCAACAACAACAGCAGCAACATCCTTCGCCAATCACCATCAACAGGAGGGATTTGAAAGAGGTTACTTCATTCACTTCACTTATCTAGGGAAAATTGTCTCAACTACAGACAGTTGGAACGGACGGGGATGTCAAATCGAGCGAGAATCGGGAAGGTGAGCGAGAAACACATTCATCAACCTGACTGAAACCAATCTGGAAATCTTCGTCACTCAGCCAACATCAACAACAAAATTCGGTTGGATTTTCAATACAAACGTTCTTCTATATAGAATGGATCAGAAACTTGGCGGGCGGATCAGAAAGAATATTTCCAACCAACAGGCTATTGCAGAACTTTACCAACAACTGTATTCGCTGGCTCTATAATGAAGATCAGATAGCCGGGCGGGCCGGAAAGAATCACCAACAAGAAACTATGGACACAAACAAACAAAAGAAGAACCAATCGCCAACCAACAAATATGCAGGAGAAAGTGGATTGAGATGGATTGGACATTCGCTGAGGAGGAGGCCGCTGGGTGACATCGCGCGCGCGTCAGGCCATTTCTCGAGTGGAACCAGGCCGAAAGGGAAGCGGCGAGTGGGACGTCCAAGTGTGATGGGGGGTGGAGGAGATAGTGTGAAGAGGAGTTGAAACAGTATGGACTAGCATGGGATCAGGTGAAAAGTACAGCAGAAGGAAGACAGGAGTGGCAAGTGGAGACGTGGAGTTGAAGCTCTATGTTCCACTAGGAAGCCAAGGGAACAATAATAAAATAATAATAATAAAGGAGATAGTTGAGTGATCTTATACACCTAGGTGGGAAGTATTCGTAAAGAAAGTGAGGAATAACGATGCAGTGAAGAAGGTTCTTGGAACTACCCTTAACGGATGATCCTATAAAACTACAATGATTGAATTTCAGATTTATAATTATCTGTTTCTTAGATTCATCTACATTTCTTGGAGCGTTGATCTTTTTCTCTAAGATAGTTTATCAACGAACAAAGTAAATCATCCAATCTAAATGATAGTGTTTCTGAAGGATTTTAATTCTATGTTCACTGAATCTGAACAGATTCTTGTCTCGAGAGGAGTGATAAGATTTCTGTTTCCGCTTTAGTTACAAAAAGGGACTTCTCAATTGACTTATGCCAGCTGAATTCATATCACACAGAGTGAATTTTTCCTACCTTAAGTGAAAATTATGAATTTCATACATACATGAGCAAATGGCAGTTGAAATCTGTTAATCTCATTTGACATTTCTAAAACACACAATAATTGAGTGAGCAAAGAATATCCTTTTCGATAAATTCCTTTTCTGGCTCTACAATCTCATATATATTTTTATATACGTTGAATATTCTAGAGTAGTCGTCATTAACAATATTAGTATTTTTCTTAAATAATATCGATTTGTTAAATAAGATCACAGTAGAATTACACTTCATAAGAGATGTATAAATTATGATTATAATAATAATAGAATAGCAAATAGAATATCACTTAAAATTAAGGAAATTTCTACAAACAACTGAGGATCATTCGAACTTAGATGGCCAAGGTAAGTAAGGACACCGTCTGAACTCACTATTTTTTTGGATACATAAATCAGGTACCTTAATCTGGATCCTAACAGCCAGCCTCAGCAATATTTAGTAAACGAACTCTTAAGGCGAAATTAAGATTAGTTGGAATGGTATGCGGTTAATGACTTTGAAAGCCACCTCACTGACATTAATCTTGTGTTTTGTCTCCCCCATTGGATGAGATAGAATAGCGCTACGAATAGATTTTGTT